AGTTGGTATAGAGTTTGGGTGCCCATACCCCTGGCTACTTTCCAACTCCTGTTGAATTCAGAGCAAAATTCGAGGATGTTTGTCATTAATATGACCAAAATTTAGAACAACAAAATCAGAAGGGCGGACAATACCTTTTCCGACATAAGGTTTATAAATTTTAGTAAGAGGTTGAGTAATTATGGAACCATCTTTAATCGATGGTCTAAGAAAATTTGGGTACTTAATTAAAAGGGGAATATTATCATATTTCATAAAATCAAAAACTTGCTTCTTGAAGTTTTCATAGCACAATCCTTGGTTGTTGATCACATCCCAGTTTAGCGTCATCCCACGGACTTTGAGAACGTAGTCAGGTTCATTGTTGGGAGTAGTCTTCTTTTGTAGTTTCAATCCATATTGCTTGGCCCCTCCAGAACAGTATTCCAAGATGTTGAAATCCGGGTACTCATCTGTAAATTGCCCCAGATGAGGCCCTAATTGAAGAGGACAATTGTTGTCTGGATGTGAGAAGATTAAGGAATCTGTGTCGGTGTAAAGAAGCTGACAACCAGTTGTCCTCACAACCTTCTGCATGGCATGCAGAAGGTGGATCCTCGCTGCTGATGTAGTCCAGAGCGAAATGATGACATTTGAGGAGTCATGCTCCTCCACCCAATCCTTCTTTTTGATGTAGTTTATAAGTATTACTTCTTCGGTAAGTTCGTCAATTGAATTGATGGTAATGGAAGGGTCGTCGCACATCTTTGCCAATTCATTAGGGTCGTCGGTAATTTTGCATTGCGAAAGGCCAAAGTTACGTAGGGAGAACCTTCCCCATAAGTTGTTAAGACACAATTTTGCTTGTGTCCGTTTCCCTTTGTTGGCCACCATTTTCTCCCTCTCAATTTTAATTCCAAACATTTCCAAGCATTCTTCCATAAACTTATCTTCTTTCAACTTGTCCCCTTTGATGGAGTTGTCGAAGCCAGAAGAGTGAATTTTCTGGGCCATAAATTCACTAATGTAAGGGTTGAAGAGTTTGTCGTCGTAGTTTTTGAATTCCAGAACTCTGAAGAGTTTGGTGACAATATAACCCTCCTTGAGGGCTTCGTTCAGTTCAATAGATGTACATGTAGACACCCACCCTCTTTGTTGATCTGAATGGGGACAGCAGTAATTTTCCTTGACATCCCCATGTGGGTGTTCTTTGGCACATGTGGAACACAGGGGGAAGAGTAGTCGTTCATCTTCATCTTCCCCAATTTTCATAGGTAAGACTGGAATATCTATTTGTCGTGGGGGGACGACAAATAATTTTAAAAGTGAAAGGTTGAAGGTGTTGTCCTCAGGTTTAGTCCAGTTGACATCTTTGTTGACAACGTGCACTTCTGGATGTCCAACCGGGTACCTCGTTGAAACATTTATAAAGGGATAAAGGGATGTCACGTCGTAGTAGGAGATTTTTTCTCCTTGCTGTGCAGAATGAAATAGCTTTAAAGGGCCAGTTCTTCCCCCATAAAATGCTGACCTAATGTTGATAGGCCCATCATCCAAATAATTTTTAAACATTCTTCTCATCTCAAAATCCTTGGAAAGCATATTCCTTATTTCGCATTCCCAGTAGACCTCAACATTCACACCTAAATTCTTGATAAAGTTGAGACGTTGTTGATCTTTTTGCCTCTGCTGCCCTGCTGTGAGACCAGTTGGAAGTTTTATATTGTCGTCTGGGTAGCATTTGATGCACCCGTGCCAGCAGCACCCATTGACTTCAATAGCCAGCTTCTTTTCTTTAATCCACCCATCCAATTTATAATTACCAATCTTCTTTTCGCCATTCTTTGAGTGTGCTGTCCTAATAGTAATGTTGTTTTTCTCAGCATACCACTTGAGAAATCGGAGCGCCAACAAACTTTGGTTGTCGACGTTGTCGTATCCTTTTTCAGGAACAATCCCAACGTGTTGTGGTTTGAGATGGTTCAGTCGAAAGTGCTTCATACATGCTGAAGCTATAGTCATCGATTCTCGAAGTACATCAAGTCCGTTGGAAACTTCCAAAAATTCTTTTCTGAAGGCTACAAGAGCTGCCATGAGGATTTCGACATCATTTGTACAGTAAGATGCTAGTTGTTCGTCCAAGTTAAAGGGTTCATTTTTGTGATGCTCAAACCATTTATCGAATTGAACTCTTTTCTCAGGCATCATCCCATTGTAAATATAGTCTTCTTTAGTCGGGAAGATTTCTTTCCCATAATTTTTTGGATTGTTGGCCAGGTGGGGGAAGAAAGGTTTATCTTCCACTTGCAGTCCAAACGCAGGTACAAGAGATGCCAAGGGCATCGGCATAAGATTGTAGGTGTCTCTGAAGATTATCCAGCATTTATTAGAATTTTTCACCTTCATTTCATACATTTTGTTTCCTTTCTTAATCATATCTGGAGTTAGGCCAAGAAGATACAATTCTTTGAAGAGTAGTACCATATCAAACCTTCCACCAAAATGTGAGAAGGCTACTGTATCAATTGAAGTATTGATTATCCAAGTTGCAAAATCTGTCAGAGGTTCATTTGTGATGTTCTGTTGATCAACTGTTGTATTGGTGAATGGCTGATGGGAGAATGTAATTGTTTTATTTTCTCCACAAATTTTACAGTTGTTGTTGCTCAAACCGTTAGCAATACAAGCAGGGCAATTGATTTTTGCTGAAATGAAATTGACTTCATGTAGTTTTCCTTTTTCTCCTTGTTTGTGCTGCATGGTTTCAAAGTCAAAAGCGATAATCCGGTACGGTTTTGACTTGTTGAGAGTTAGAGGTTTGATAAAGCATCCTCTTTTAGGGTCGTGGTAGCTGAAACATGTGTTGCAGTAACGTTCTGAACAAACATGCCCAGTACGTCCATTCCTATTATTCAAAACAACATTCCATATAACTCCACACTTTTCACATCTCTTCGAGTTGTTGCAAAAATTTGATGTTAGGTGGTATTTGTAGCAGCCTTCATTATTAAATTCCTTATCACAACCAGAACAATGTTTGAAGAAGTTGTCTGATTGTTGACATGGGTAATCGGGTCCAATCCTTGAACAGTTCTGACACTTTGAAGAACAAGATGTAGCATGGTCGTTTTGTCTATGGTACACCTTTTCACATTTAAGGCAGTAAGGCTTACCAAATAAATCACCTGCCTTTCTTACTCCATCAAAATGATTATTAGAAAAATAAAGAAGAATTGGTGTATTATAATTTTCAGCCCCATATTTAAAAATAGGTTTTATACCCAATTCTCCAAAAATAAAAACTTTAAATCCACCTTTATTCAGAGAATTCCAGTAGTCCACAACTTTTGGCACCCAATCATTTGCAGCATAAGTAGGTTGACCAGAAGGAGCATTAATTTTGTTCATCATTTCCAGTGCATCCTTCTCGAGTTGATGAGTCATGCCTCTTCTGCTATGAATGTAGTCATAAAATTTCCATTTTGGCCAAGAAGATGTTGCAAATACAAAGGTGGCAGATAATGAACGAAATAAGCAATAGTTGTCGGAGTTAATAATTTTAATAAGATTATGTTGTTTAATTTTATGTTGTGTTGTCGAATCTTTGCCGCTGCCTTGAATTGTACGTGTAGAAGGGAGATTCTTTCTGTCGATTGTTGTTACTGAAACATTAAATGGGTCGCCCCATAACATACCTTGATCCTGTTTTTTGGACTGGGCCACCTTGAGGAATTGGTTAAGTATAGCGTCTACAGTGTTGTTGTTGATATCCCTGATCGGGATCCAAATGTCAGTTTCTAGTAACTGACTGCTCACTGTACAGCCAAGTTGGTCAGGGTCAAGTTGATGATCACGGCTCGTTTCTAGGGTCTGGTCAATACATTTTTGAAAAATTTCTTTTAAAAGCCCCTCAGGTTCATCAGGTAGACCGTGTATTAAAAATTTAGTTGATAGTTTGGTAAGGTTAAATTTCCGGGTTATCTTAGTTTCCTCCCCCAAATATTTTAAAAAATCACCGCCGCCAAGCTGCAGATCAAGAAGATTGTTGATCATAAAACTCCGTGCTCGCTTTGATGGTGGTGGAGTCATTTAAGGTTAGTAAAATAATTTTTTTAAATTTAAAGAATGAAATAAAATCCTAAAAACTTGGATTTATAAATGTCTTTTTGATTGATATATTTTAGCCAATTTTCACTTTTCCACGCCTACATTTTAATAACTATTCATAATATTTTTTACTTGATCTATTTTTACCAAATTTTCACTTTTTAACTTTTATTTTTTTCAAATTTACCCAATTTTCACTTTTCAACATCAATTTACAAATTTTTCTCGTGCATGACCTATTTTTTGATTTATTTTTGCAACATAATTATTGCATGACTGATTTTTATATATTTTCACTTTTCAACGCCTACTTTTTAATAATTTTTGTATTTTTCAAAAATAAAGGGTAAAATGAATAAATAAGGGTTAGAGGATATAGAGAGAGTTGTAAGGGTGTTTCTCTAAGCATCTTTAAGAGTACATCTTTTGAACCATTTAAAAGAAACTTCTTAAACCCTTGAAACATTGGGAATCTGTAATATTGTGAAAAATAGAGAGAAGGATTGTTTTTCTTTAAAAAGTTCAAAATTAAACCGGTTTATTCAAATTACCCCTTAAACCTTTTGATACTTTGGAAGCGTCTTGAACCTTTGGACTTTGACGACGGAGTTGTTGAATGAACGTTTAAGAAGGGGGAGGGGCTAAATGGTTGGACCCCGCTGCCCCTGACGACTTATACGCCGGTCTAACTACTCCCTATCCGAAGAAAATTCTGAAAACCCCATGCAAACCAGACCCGACCTTTTTCTCATCCCGACCTGTCCCTGACCGGCACCGGCAAAAATTGAAAATAAAATGGAACAATCCCAGTACCGAGTTAATTTTTTAATTTTTAAATAAGGCCAAATGCTTCCCCTGTACACTTCAAAATAATTTTCCAAATTAAGGTATTCTCTTCAGAAGAATTTCCACATATGATTAGCGATTTGGAAGAAGTTATCCAATTCAAATTGAGAACTAGAGCGAGATATGGTTTAATCTTTTGGCAAGGTCAACATCCTTCTCTGGACAGAAGAGAAGGGACTGAACAGTTTGGGGAAGATTTTTTGGCTATTTCACTGTTGGGAGGGCATTTATCGTTCACTTATGAATTGGGTGGAGGAGCTGCTCAGTTAATTAGTAAAAGGCCTGTGAATGATGGAAAGACTCATTTGGTGGGTTTAATAAACTTTAAGAAGACCCCTACAGTATCTAAAGAGCTCTCCACCTCCTATACTGAATTTAGCTCTCCTTACACTAACTACCCTTAACTATCTTGAAAACCTTGCATATCTTAAGGTAAAATAGACTATAAATCTTACGATAAGCACTGACCAAAAGGATATACCTATGTATGCCCCTATAAATTTCCCCTTAATCTCGTATGAGAGAAAATATTCTCAAAATCTCCTTTACAAACCTCTTATGTATACCTAAAGTAGAGATAGATCAACGAGGATCTCGCTAAAAATCTCGAGTATCAAGAGATCAGGATTATTCAAAATATCGAGCTCTACTCTTGATTCCTTTACCCCTCATTTCAACTCCTTTGTTTTACTTAATATATATATATATATTTTCAAATATTAAAGATTCGCGCCACTCGCCGAGGTCGCAACGGCACCTTACAAATAAACAGAGGAAAAATAGTAGAGGGTAGAAGCAGCGGAATCCTTGCAATGTTGAACGTCGAGGGGAATATATTTATTGGAGGAGTGCCAGATTTAAACATTATGACGGCTGGGATGTTTAATCAAAATTTTGTTGGATGTCTTGGAGAAGTTGAATTAAATGGACAGAGGATTGATTTAATGGCTAATGCTATTGACGGGAGAAATGTTAGGCCTTGTGGGAGGTGGAAGTCAAAAATAGGGTCTAAAGGAAGGAGAAAGAGGCTATTGAGGAGATTAAGAAGGAGGTATGGAGGATAGAAGGGATTATATGATATTGATGATTTTGAAGATTCAATGGATCTAAATATGACTTTTTTCGTTTAAAGATATACAAATAAACTTTGTTTGAAAATGAAGAGAGTAACTAGAGAGACAGAATGATTCGAAAAAGCCCGAATCCTTGTGTCCTCTATCCAATTTAAAATCGGTTTGACCGTAATGACAGAAGACCCAAGACAGAAGATTTAAGGCTGAACTGGTGATATCGTACGAGATTGATATCTCTAAAAATATAAAGCTCGAACTGGTTTCTAGGTCTAACTGTCAGAATCACTATGATATACATACAATTTTCGGCCTTATAATGAGGCTTATCTTAAATATAGTTTTTGTTTCATCACTCACTCAATGGCTAACCAAATTATAGAAAGCTAATCCAAAATAGATCAGGGCATCTACTATTGAACATTACAATAATCTCGTCTTTATTAATAAAATTAGAAGGGGGTCCGTACGAAACCCCCCGTTCCAAAAATTTGTTACAAACTAATAAGCTTTAGAGATTAACTCTAAGATTGGTTACAAATATTTAAATAATTAAAATTGAATTTTTTTATATTAAGAAAAAATTGGGACTTTTTTATCCAAAAAAAAATTTTTTTTAACATATACATATTAAGTAGAATTATTTTATTTTTTATTCCTAATTTTAAAAATTATTCAACCTAAAAAAATATTTTTCCTTTTATGTCCGCAAATGTTGTCTGCAAATATTTGTAGGCAATTTTCTTCACTAAAATCTTAAATAAAATTACTAAATAAAATTTCTCGCCTATCTTTAGTCAACTTGCACAATATTTATAATAAATTGGCCTTGTAAATTTTCATCCAAATTTTGCTACATTTATAAATATGTAATAATGCATTAAAAAGCAACAATTGTTGCTTTTTCAATTTAAAAAAAAAGAGTAATTGTTCTAAAACTCAGTCACCTAAATTTATTTTTGTTCTACCTTTGCAATTAAGTTAAACAAGATGACATTAATTTTTTGTTTATTTTAGGCCTAAATTAAGGATTTTATTAATATCCATCTATCAATATTTATGGATTATAGCATAGATATTTATTTGATTATTAATGTTCAAAAATATAATTCTTTAAAATGCCGATCTGTAGTAAATTACACAAAATTTTATTTATGTTCGTATTAGAATTTGTGTCCGCAAATATTGTCCGCAAAAATTATTAAGTCCGCAACTAGTGTCCGCAAATAATATATTAAAGTCCAACTAGTGTCCGCAAATTATTGTCAGCAAATTTTTTGTCAGCAATTAATAACCTCAACTATTGTCCACAATTTTTTTGCCACAATACTGTCCGCAAAATATTCCGCAACTTGATTGTCCGCAATTTCCTAATACCCCCTAACCCCAAAGTTTTTTTTTGTGTTTCATTTTTAGTTTTCGAATGTAGAGAATATTATTTGGGAAGCTTTTCATTGGATGAACAAATGCCACTGTCTTTGCTTTTTGCTATTATCTTTGCATTACTGGTATCCATCAATTTTGCTATATGCGATAGAAGCGTTTTGCGTCCAAAACGAGGGGTAAAATTTTGTTTGATTAAAAAGTGTAATTATTAGGGAGGAGAATTTGGTTGAAGACTTGACTTCCTATAATACTAGCACCGATATAGAGGTTGTGGTGGTGGGCCCAAACTCCCCAGCATAATTGAATAAGGTAGAGCATATGCTCTGGACTTACTTGGAAAACCTGAGTTAAATTATTAGGGATGAGCATTAGGGCATAATAATAAAAGATTTTATTGTTTTACCCTTATAACCATAACCAAAACCTTCCCAAAATTTAGTCGGAACGGAATAGCTGGATAACTGAGGACGCAAATAATTGGGTTTTTGAATCGACTGAATCTAACGAGGAGATGACTCCCCCAACAATCTCTACTGATGATTATGTCTTCGTAGGTGATATGGTTTTTGAAAAGCAGAACATAGCAGAAGAAGACTCGGAAGAGGAAGGGGTGCAAAAAAGTGTCATTAAAGATAAAAGCAGGTGAAATATTTTTGTTAGATCAACTTGTACTACATAGACGGGAGGCTTGTTAAGGGGTATGCTATGAAATCTTTAGATGGATGTGTTGAGCTAAGTCGGAATTGGGACCAGTTCATGCTGGATGTTCCAAAATTTCCAATGATCTGCAAACGTAACAAAGACTAAGATTAGAACCTAAGGCTGTCCTCGCTGTGTAAGGTTCGAGCTTTGACTGAGGTTTGGCTCCCAAATTAACACTGGATTTTAGTTTGGAGTATTCCCAGGGTTTCAAAGAACAAAGTTGTCTCAAAACTAGAGCTAGAGGGAAACTGAAGGTTTAGGCATGACCTCTTGAGGATACTACGTCCCTTAGGATAGAAGGAGATCACTAACAATTATTTTAAGAATCTGGCCTAACAAACAGTTGCCTATATATTTCGACAACTCAGTTGGGAGAAGAGCTAGAAAAGCTGTACAATCAGCTATCAACACTTTAGAAGACGAAACTTGTATTTCCTTCCCAAAATACGATCCAAGTCGGCATAAAAATTATATTACGATAAAATCATCGCAAAAAGGTTGCTGGGCGTATATTGGTTTCGATAATCAACAAAAAAACAACCAATTAAACCTACAAACTGGAACCTTTTGTGAATCTGCTCCTACTGCTATTCATGAATTAATGCACAGTCTTGGGGTATATCATGAACAAATGCGGTAATTACTTAATACAAAAGGATCTCCTTTATATTTGCACTCTTGGGGCTTACAACGGGGTCCCCCTTTCCAGAAAGTAGAACTCAGAGTTTGGTTTACATAATCCATGTAGGAATATTTATTCTACGAGGTTAGGGCTACATATTTGACAGTGTTTGGTTGGTAGTGACAGTGTATACTTTATGACTCTTACCAAGGGCCTTGGTATTCTAAGGGCCTTGGATATACCTCAACTTAAACTGAGGTCTATCTATGTAGTAGAGACGTCCGAGACACTTGGTCTTGAGTTTGATCCCAAGACTTTTCTTGGGTTTTTTTCGTTCTTGGTCTTGGGGTGAAGTCTTGCGGCACTGAAAGAAGATATTCGGAGCAGTGCTTCGAAGCTCGTACCAAAATTCGTACTCGTACCTCGTACCTGGTACGAAGTACGAGTACGAGTACGAGCAAAAAAATGTGAAACGTACGAGGTACGAGGCCTACGTACGAGCTCGTACTTCTCATACTTGGTGTTAATAGAAAAATAGAAAGAAATATGTTTAATTTCTTTCATTTGCCCTTATGTGTTTGGGTGGCCGAGTGGTTAAGGCGTTAGGCCTGACCAGAGATGTTATTGAATTTAGAGGTTGGTTCGAATCCTGGTTCGAATCGAATCCCCAATTGCCATTGACCAAATGTCCGAGAGTCAATTTTAATGTTACAGATATGATCGCGACGAATACATTGAAGTACTTTTTGATAATCTCCGGCCTGACGTCGTTTCAGAATATCAAAAACAAAGCAGAGCAACTTTGGAGACTTATGGGGAACCCTATGATTATGGCTCAATTATGCATTATCAGGTGCGCGCAGGAACGAAAAATGGATTACCTGGCTTTCGAGTACTTCGGCGTTATAATGAGAACGCTATTGGTAATGCGAGAACTCCAAGCCGTATAGACCTGCGTAAACTTAACAAACTCTACGGATGCTCTCAAACCGACACGGATGATTCAAGGTAGATTTGAACGAATACAATAGCGTTCTAATCAACGTACGGGATTCGGCTAATTAACTAGTTTTCTGACTATGAGATAAGATTGAAAACACGGTAGCTCACTATAATATACCCCCAGATTTAGGCGCTCCGCTCTCTTTAAATTTTAGCTGGGCATGAATGAAAAAGCTATTTAATCAATTCCTCAAATTCAAGAAAACACTTATTTTGGTACTTTGTTCATATCCCGCCCCCCACCCCTATTTGAGTCTCAGATTAATTTTCCTTCTTTGTTGTCAATCATTTATTTTTCCTTCTTTTTTAATGCCAATCATTTTCTTCCCTCAAATATAGGACACCCAAAAGGGCGCGCGGCCATAACGGCGCAAAGCCATAACTTGCTTCAAGATTTTCGAACCTTACCAAAATAAATATTAAACGATTCCTCTCATCGAGCTAAAGAGATTGATAACAAATATGACAAGGGTCAAAAATATTCCAGCAAGTTATGGCTTTGCGCCGTTATGGCCGCGCGCCCTTTTGGGCTGCACCCCTCAAATTCATAAGCTTTTAACTTGCCTTTTACTTTATAATATTTGAGGGAAGAAAATGATTGGCATTAAAAAAGGAGGAAAAATAAATGATTGACAGCAAAGAAGGAAAATTAATCTGAGACTCAAATAGGGGTGGGGGGCGGGATATGAACAAAGTACCCTTATTTTAAACGAGGTTTTTCAGACGATTTGTGTGTCCTATAATAGGGTCCGACCATTTAAAAATTCTTTCTTTCAAGCTCTGGTGAGTTTAACCCTTACACTCCACGCCCACCAACACAGCCACCGCCGCATCCGATTGACTATGATAGAAGTGAAGAAGCTACAGATTGTGACAAGGGTTGTTGCTGTAGGTGTAAATGCAAAGGTTATATCTGCCAATGCAATTGCCCTTGTAAATGCCTTAACTATGGTCGAAATAACAATCATTGCAACTGCACATGCAACCGGGCAACTTTTGTGCCATCTCTTTATAATCATCGAGTTGTTGCACAAGTTGCTAAGAGGAAATGAATCGAGATTTAAATAAAATTGATAATTTACCTATATGTTAATTTATATCTTATCACTAATTTTACCAATAAAATAAAGTATTTAATCAAATATATACAATGGGCGATTACCGATGAGTACACCTGGACAAGACCCGAGCTATGCCCAGAGATGTTCGAGTCATGCCATTTTGAGATAATCAGGTCGTTTCCCCTAAAATCCCACTCTGATGACCCTAATTTTGGGAACGATCTTAAATAGGTAAATATTAAAAAAAACGTCACTTTTTCAAAATAACTTTTATTTTTAAACCTCAAAAAAGGTAAAAGTAATATGATAAAAATGAGACAAAAATGAGGCAAACATCGACATAAAATAGCAACAAATTGAAAAATCGACACTAGGATATATGACTGATTTGTTATACAAATTTAGGAGTTACAAATTTAGTTTGTTAGAAAATCTTAATAGCTTCAACTTTAATTTTAGGTCCCTGAAATTTAAGAAAACCAAAATTTTAAAAACTCTAGAAAATATACAAAAAAATTTCCAATCTTAAATTTTTCATTCGAAATTCATTGAAGATTTTCTATTTAAAATAACCATAAATATAAAAAAAATAAAAGTATTATGATCTTACGGGAAACAAATATTTGACCGCATCAAAAAAAGTATTGATATATATTAAGTTGAACCCCTGCTGTACTAATAGAGAATGGTCTAGGAGAATGGTCTCCTAGCAGTTTGACCTGTTTTTCCATGTTACGAGGCAAAATAATTTTGCTAATTCCATGGTTCCAGGCAGCGTCTAGCTTTTCCTTAAGACCATCAACCGCCAAAATTTCCCCGTCCGCAGTTTTTAATTGACCGACGAATGCCATGTCTAGGTTATAATAGTGAAAGTAAATTAAAATCCCTAAAAATATTGAAATCCTCTAATAATCCCCATAAATTTAACCCTTAGCCTTAATTCGAGGTTTTTCGATATTTTTAGAGAAGGGGATTTGATTTCACTTTTCCTTATTATAGATGGCCTTTATTGGACAGTTAAATGCTGATAGTGACCTGATGGATGTCGGTGGAGTCAGAGAGAAATTAAATGGTGCTTATACCAATAAAATAAACAAAATAATTATGCCATCATGTATGAAATACGCTGTTAAGGAATTAACGAAGGAAATCCAAGAAAAATTTACTTTTATTTATGTTGATAATTTTTTTGATGCTGTAGAGTATTTATTTCCTTAAGGGCCACAAATTTTTGATTATTTAAATTAGAAAATCTTCAATAAATTTATGAATAAAAAATTTAAACAACTAAAGTATAAAAATTTTTAAAAATTTTTTGGCCAAGTCACGGTCGATGGGGAAGTATTGGAAGTGGCTGGGGTGAAGGAAAAACTTGGTGCGGCTCATGGGGTTGGTATAACGAATATTATCCTTCCAGAGTGTATGAAACAGGAAATTAAAGGTTAAACCAGGATTCCTGTTTCATACACTCTGGAAGGATAATATTCGTTATACCAACCCCATGAGCCGCACCAAGTTTTTCCTTCACCCCAGCTACTTCCAATACTTCCCCATCGACCGTGACTTGGCCAAAAATTTTTAAAAATTTTTATACTTTAGTTGTTTAAATTTTTTATTCATAAATTTATTGAAGATTTTCTAATTTAAATAATCAAAAATTTGTGGCCCTTAAGGAAATAAATACTCTACAGCATCAAAAAAATTATCAACATAAATAAAAGTAAATTTTTCTTGGATTTCCTTCGTTAATTCCTTAACAGCGTATTTCATACATGATGGCATAATTATTTTGTTTATTTTATTGGTATAAGCACCATTTAATTTCTCTCTGACTCCACCGACATCCATCAGGTCACTATCAGCATTTAACTGTCCAATAAAGGCCATCTATAATAAGGAAAAGTGAAATCAAATCCCCTTCTCTAAAAATATCGAAAAACCTCGAATTAAGGCTAAGGGTTAAATTTATGGGGATTATTAGAGGATTTCAATATTTTTAGGGATTTTAATTTACTTTCACTATTATAACCTAGACATGGCATTCGTCGGTCAATTAAAAACTGCGGACGGGGAAATTTTGGCGGTTGATGGTCTTAAGGAAAAGCTAGACGCTGCCTGGAACCATGGAATTAGCAAAATTATTTTGCCTCGTAACATGGAAAAACAGGTCAAACTGCTAGGAGAATGGGTTCAGCAGGGGTTCAACTTGATATATATTAATTCTTTTTTCGATGCGGTCAAATATTTGTTTCCCGTAAGATTATAATACTTTTATTTTCTTTTATATTTATGGTTATTTTAAATAGAAAATCTTCAATGAATTTCCAATAAAAAATTTAAGATTGGAATTTTTTGTATATTTCCTAGAGCTTGATAAAATTTTGATTTTCTTAAATTTCGGGGACCTAAAATTAAAGTTAAAGCTTGAAGATTCTCTAACAAATTAAAATTTTAGTCACTGTTGCTAAAAACCCAAAAAAATTCGTAAAAATCCCTAGTAATGATTTAAGACCAATTAAATCCAAAAATAAACAAAACAAAAAGTTGACACCTAAAAAATCGATTTTTTAGATTCACTTTTGGGGAACTAATTTTCTTTGACTGATTTGTTATAGTTCATAGGATGGATAAAATCCTAGTATAACAAATCAAAAAAAGAACAAACAAAAATAATTTTAAAATGTAAAACTTCACACAATCGGGAGCCATCTGAAAGACCACTGATTTTGTAGATCCATTTTATGTTGGCGGGTACTTATCCGGATGGAGTCGACGTAAAATTGCGCCAGGGGCAGGATAAGGTCGTTGTTGGAAAAGCTAAAAATTAAAAAAACATTAAAGATTGTTTAAAAGTGAAATTGTAAAAATTCCAAAAAAAAAATCCCAAAAGTTCCAAAAAAATTGCCAAAAATTATCAGGGTTGAGTTCAATAATTTCTGCTTTTAAATAATTGTTAGGGCCAAATGTTTTATGTTATTGAATTATAGAACGTTATAGAAAATGTTAAGAGAAATCCTGAAATCTTAACAATTCGAACCCTAACAATACTAGAGACCGGACTTAGCGTGTCGCTCGAAAATCGAGATCTCGAATAATCTCTCACGAAAACACAACCCGATAAACACCTAGAAATCAACATTCTTCGAGAAATGTTATTGGAATCTGGTATTGCATAATTTCACAATATCAGACTTCAATTGATCTTATTTTTGTTAATTAATTACCGGTCCAGAAGCAGTCACATCAACGCCAGTCTTTACTTCTTGATCTTCTACAAGTCCAGATGTCCAAGCACCTTCAGGAGCCTCTCCATAGGCGGATGGGTCCATTGGGTCAATTCCCTTACGTTTAGCACGTTCTAAATGAAAACAAAAATTTTTTTTAATTTTAAAGAAAATCTAACTTAGTTTGTCACGTTCAGTTAATTCTGCAATTGGTCTCGAGTCTTCATCACTTTCATCCTCAGCTCCCTAAAAAAATATATTTTAGATTAAAAGACTGATAATTTTCTTATAGATTTATCTATTTTGGGATAAAACTTAAAAATATATTCCATTCCAGGATTATCAGAATCTAGCACTTTAACAGATAGGTTAGTATTTAAAACACAGATAGGGTTGTCGGCTCTAAGCCGAACCAACTCGAAAATTTTCCGGGACAGTTTCAGACACCCGGAAATTTTCGCCAGGACAAGGTATACGCCTATATTTGCCATATGAAATTTTCTTTTCTGCCAAAAAACCCCCAAAATTTCGATTTTATTTCTAATTTCTGGTTTTCTAAAAAATAATTTTCGCATGTAGTCAAAACGGTTTTTACAAAAATTAAAATTTAAAAACTCACTCTTCCACGCTTGGCAATAGCCATTGCATTTTTCCTGTCACGTCTATTTTCATGTTGATTTCTGCCTTCCTTTCCTCTTCCACTTCTATTCCTTCCTTTGTTGTTGACCTCCTCATCAGCAACATCTTCAGCTTTGTGGCTATTTAAGTTCCACATTTCTAAAATTTTGTTGATAATTGAAAAAAACCAAAATTCAAAAAAACCTCTAGCTATTTTTGGAGCAGATTCAGAAATGACTGCCTTTGGATGTCTTGGAGATAACCAGCAAACCTTAAAAAGAAACAATAATTTTAAAAGACAAAATTAAAAAAAACCTCATCAGTGCTCTGATTCCAATAGTAATGCCTGCGCATTCCGGAATCATAAATTTCTGTCCAACCTTCAGGCAGTGGATAATTGCGCAGCATTTTCTTTCGTTGTTACAAATAACGTTCAGGAAGACTAAAAAAATTTTTTATAAAAAGAAAAATTTTAAAAATAGGAAAGACGGGAAATTGATATTTTGTCAATGAAATCTAGAGTGTGAGGGTGTGATTTTATTAATTTAGTGTAAATTTATAAGCAACGCCCCCCTAATAACACTCTGTCAAATGTCATACTTCAATATCAATTACAAAAGGGGAGATCGTCCACCTAAGTTATTGCACAATTAAGTGTGAACCCTTTACTTTAAAGGTTACACCTTCACCTTAATGTGGAGAAAAAAAGTTTGTCACCCCTTTTGGAAGAGGGTGACATATTTGCCTGGAGGCGGCTATGCTCACGCAATTCCCCTCAAACATCTCCAGCCAAAACTATTTCTGTACAAAAAAATACCGAGATTCAGGATATCCTTCTTGCCATTGATCAAAGCAAAATTCAGTGCAGACATGAAAAAGAATGTGTTTGTTTGGACAGCCTGGAGCTCCACCACGATATTTTTCCTTGCCTGTGTCAGCCTTCTAAAAGTTAAATTAATTAATGCGTGAATAAAACTTAATAAAATAAACCGTTTCATCCTCTTGATCATAACTTTCAGCGAACACTTCCTCTTAAAATGAAAAATACAAACGTCGAAAAATTAAAAAGAAACCTTCTTTCTTCTCATCCTGTACGATCCCACGACGTTGAAGTTTCTAAAATTAAAAAGATATAGCTTCAAATATATTTAAAATTGAATGAAAGGGCAGAGGAAAAACAATTCAGTACCCAGTAAATACTAAGAGGGTCGGGACATAAGCAAGGAAGAGAGGCTATCGAAAAAAGTCATCCACACACGGCACGAAATAAATAAGTCTCATTCAGCCTTTAATTTAAAAAATAAATTTTAACCTGCAGAAGTAAAGGAGGTAATGAAGTTGCCATTTTGTAAAATTGCCACTAATTAAAGTAATTTAAAAGTGCTTTGAAATTGTCCAAGTCCAAATGAAAAATAAAAGATAATGCTTTAAGTATGTCTACTTTAAAATGAAAAAAAACAAATGAATCCAAAAACAAATTTATCCAATTAAATAATTCAATTTTAGAGACAAGACTAAAAATAGTTTTTAATTTTGAGTGGAATCAAATTTAAATAGATGCAAAGATTTAAAAGAGATGCTTGCGTTAAAAATTGTTACCCTTATCTCCCATGTGAATATTTACTAGGTCGGTTCATAAAAAAGTTCGTTTTACATAAATGGTTATAGAATTTTTTATAGATGTCCAAAAGCTTTGAAATTTTGCATATTTATTCATTTGAGTGTTTCCTAATAGAGCCCAAAATTTGAGAATTTTTGGTTCGGTATTCAGGGAGTTGTGGTCGAAAACACCGAAAATCTGAAAACCATCGGGGTTCGAGCCCTCTCGTGCATATGTAATTGTAATATCGATTGTAATATATCATTCGAAAGCTCTTAAAAATCTCTATCAGGGGGGCCTATGTGCCGAATTTTTCATACACGGGAATGTCGATTTTCAGAAATGTCAAAATGTCGAATTCCGGGTTAGACACAAGTTACAGAATTTATTCTTCGTATTTAGTCATAAATCATATATGTTATGTACAAAACCGTTTAGATCATCAATATCGGATGATTTTACGCAAAGTTAGAAAAAACACTTTTTTGGGGGGATGTGTAACATAGTTTTCGACGACAACTTTTTAAGAGATTAGAACTCCCTGAATACAGAACCAAAAATTCTCAAATTTTGGGGTCTATTAGGAAACACTTGAATGAATAAATACACAAAATTTCAGAGCTTTTGAACTTATAGAAAAAATTCTATAACTATTTTTGTAGAACGAACTTTTTTATGAACCGACCTAGTAGTTATTAGACGGAAACGATTTTCAGATCTGAGGCTGGGTTCCAAGGCTGGGTCTAAAAAAAGCCCATGTATATATTTTATTAAAAGATTGAAACAATAGAGACAAATTAAATTTTTAGGGAAATAGATATTTGACAGAATCAAAAAAGTCCTTAACATATAGTATTTTAATATTTTCCCTCAATTCGGGATCGACTCTTTCAATTGATTCTTTATTGTTAGTTCCGGCAATAATCGTCTTAACACGGGCAATTTTCCCATCAGGTGTAATCTGGCCTAGGAGGGCAGTGTCTAAAATGAACTATTCTTGGAATATCAATTTCAATGATGACAATCTCCCTAAATATATTCTCGTTTTCTTTGTGGATATGTAGAAGAAGAAACGAACTAAAAATAAATTAAATTATGAGAATTTGACAGCAATAATTGTTGACAAATTGACTTCTCTTGGTTGATTTATTTTTTACGAGGAAGCGGAAGTCTTCGTATGGAATAATCAGGAAAGACTTGGTGTTGAATTTTTCAAAAATTAAGTTATCCGTAATAATCATTAGAAATGGGTTGTGCTTGCTGTAAGAAAAAGCCTGAAGCTATTAACGTTCCTGATAATGATGTTGAGAATGATGTGGCAGATATTGAAGTTCAAGATATTGATGTAGAAGCCTTCCATTTCAATATCTTGAACTTCAATATCTGCCACATCATTCTCAACATTATTATCAGGAACGTTAATAGCTTCAGGCTTTTTCTTACAGCAAGCACAACCCATTTCTAATGATTATTACGGATAACTTAATTTTTGAAAAATTCAACACCAAGTCTTTCCTGATTATTCCATACGAAGACTTCCGCTTCCTCGTAAAAAATAAATCAACCAAGAGAAGTCAATTTGTCAACAATTATTGCTGTCAAATTCTCATAATTTAATTTATTTTTAGTTCGTTTCTTCTTCTACATATCCACAAAGAAAACGAGAATATATTTAGGGAGATTGTCATCATTGAAATTGATATTCCAAGAATAGTTCATTTTAGACACTGCCCTCCTAGGCCAGATTACACCTGATGGGAAAATTGCCCGTGTTAAGACGATTATTGCCGGAACTAACAATAAAGAATCAATTGAAAGAGTCGATCCCGAATTGAGGGAAAATATTAAAATACTATATGTTAAGGACTTTTTTGATTCTGTCAAATATCTATTTCCCTAAAAATTTAATTTGTCTCTATTGTTTCAATCTTTTAATAAAATATATACATGGGCTTTTTTTAGACCCAGCCTTGGAACCCAGCCTCAGATCTGAAAATCGTTTCCGTCTAATAACTAAATACCCAAAACCACTTAAAATAAATCTAATAAAATATAATTATAGTTAATTTAATAAAAACCTGACTATAAAAATTAAACAATATCCCAAAAAATATAACCCTAAATTAACTTATTGCATCTATTCAAATTTTCACGGTTACAAAATAAAGGTTGGATATTTGAGAATTTAGGTTCCTTTAAAAAATCAAAAAAAAATAAAAAAGCGGTTACAAATATTTTAGATTGGTACAGTGGTGCGAAACATAACAGAAAAAGTTGTGGGAATATACCTAATTCTATCTAAGAAATAATGAATTTGGGTTTTCTCTTATTTAACTCAGCCTAACTTACAATTAATTTGTCATAATTGTTGACCCCGTCAAAAATTATAAAACATAGAACCAGGCACGCTCCCACCAACCCCACCCCTCCCCCGACAACGCGCCTGGTCACTCAGAAGAAAATCATAGTTTCTTAATACAAAAATAGAAACGGACAAAATTACTCGAATATCTACAAAAATTATTAACAACATTATTTCTTAGATAAAATAAAAATAACTCAAAGGATGAAGAACCAAATATAATTACGGGCCCAATTTGAAAAATGGAAAATAAACCTCACAAATTTTAAACTTTCAAAAGTCTTCTCTCATCAATATTTTTTAGTTTAGCATTGCTCACGAAGATAACGACGTCCAGCTTCCGAGGTGCGAACACTGCAAAATTAAAATTTGAAAAGATGAAAAAATTTTTATTGGAAAAATTTAGCCAAATCTAGGACAATAAAAATCTAGAACAATAAATTATCCCAGGGCTTAACTATTAAATAGAAATGAAGGAAAGCCGATCAAAAGAATAAAAAATGCTTAAAACAATTATTCCTGTCAGGTTTTCCAAAATTATATCAGAAATCAATCATAAACATCAATCATAACAAATCACGGAAACCCCGGTCAAGACCAGACAAACTTTACAAAATCATAAACAAAAGTCTTCTCAAACCTTTGTTGAAGCAAATACTGCGCAGATTGGATTTGATGAGGAGTTCCAGTTATCGTAATTATACGCTCATCATTTCCATAGGTATTTCCAACTTCAATGCGCGATCCAGATTCAGAACGAATACTTTAAAAAATTTTTTCAAAGTTCGAAAATAAGTTAAGAAAAAACCGATTGATGCGATCGCCTCCTTTTCCAATAATTGTTCCTGCCAATTCGTTTGGAATTGTGACCTTAAAAACACAAATAAAATCTTTCAAATTGCACCAAAAATCTAACCTGAGTTGTAGTCACTTGCTCTTGCATATAACCACCACCCATGCCCATTGGAGGAGGTCCGCGAGGAGGGCCACCTGGACCTGGTCCAAAACCTGCATAACCTACTGAAATAGTGATAACTTCTAAAAAAGGATAAAATCACCTCCGCCCATTCCTCCATCGTTATATCCTCCACCTCCTCCTCTTCCGCCACCACCACCTCTTCCACCACGCATTCCACCTCCACGTCCCATTGGGCCAGCAAAGCCTCCATAAGCTTGAGTGAGGTGAGGATCAAAATTAGCTGGATCATAAGATTTGATTGGGCCTTTGATTGGTATCTGAAAAATTAATTAACAATTAAAATGAAGGAGCTTGGGCTGGTTATAGGGGGCTGGATAAAAGAAATTCATGTTTTTAGTCAAACGAGCCTTGGTAGAAAAATCACCGGACCGCTCGTCGCTTATTTTTAAGAGAAAGACGTCAACAAAGACAAGAAACACGAGGACGTTCACCTCATGTTTCAAGAGGACACCGATGGGAATGACAAGCATCCACAAAAGAATGACTCATTTAAAGTAAACCATAATAATTATAAAATTAACCTCTTTAAGAAATTCATTAAAGACACGAATTGCATTGGGCATTTTAGCTCTAAAAGTCGATCGTTATTAATTACAATAAGATATTTTGTTTACCTGTCCAGTGTAATCAACATTGTCCGATCAGAAGAAAGAGGGCAAGTTTCTTGAAAAACTTTAAGCTGTGCACCAGTTTGCTCACGCAATTCCTTGATCTTTGACCCTCCTTTGCCAATAATAGCTCCAGCATGAGACTGATGAACCAACATACGAATCTCAATATCATCACGTCCTTGGTCCTAAATTTAAGTAATTTCTTGAAAAAAGTCAAAAACAAAACCTCCGACAACTTTTCAAGAATTTCAGCAAAACATTCCTCCACCTTTTCTTGAGCCACAACAATTGTCAAAACACTAGAAAAATAAAAGAAAAAATCTAATCTGTTCACTTATTATTTAATTTTAAATAAATTGGTTTGAAATTTGGTTAGTTGAAGTTTCGAATGAATTTTAGGCTCCGAAAATGTTAGAAAAGTAAAAGGTAATTTTTGGTTTCGGAAATTTTTTTTCGAGTTCAAAAAATTTTTCAATTTTTAAAATTTTAAATTGGTGGAATCAACCGGGAGATCGCTTGGAATTTAAAAGGCTTCGGGCTTCACATTTGGTGTTCGGATGTTGGATTGGAGGAGCAGAGGTGGGACAAGCAATCCCCACACTTGAACCAATTTAGAACTTGCAGACAAATTGTGGGAAAATTACCGCTCGGGTGTGCTTCGGTCAGGGACAAGAACGTGGGCCTCGTACTGTAAAGGTCGTTATGAGATTAAGTTAAAATTAATTTAAAAAAGACACAAATCACGCAAAGGTTCAAGAAAATAAAAGGATATATCTATGAGCTATTATAGAAGAAATGAGAGAGAGGGACAATTCACCACTTAAGCCCAAGGAGTATGGCTGGGGAAGACATTTGCGGAAAGGCAGCTGCGGACAGAATGACACATGTCCAGCGCCATTACCTATGATTTTCTGTTTAACAGAGCATAGTAAGCACTGCCAAATGTCAGTCCGCAAATGCCCCTTTAGTGGAGAAGCTTAACAGGTGAGTAGTAGAGATCGAGATTTTTGAAAAGCCTGGACCTGTTCCTAGGTTTGATTTCTTGACCTGGACTGGATCCTGGGCCTGTAGTCCAGGATAAACCCAGAAAGGTCAAAAAATGGCTGGACCTGGACTCTGGGTACAGAAAAAACCAAGGCCTTAGTCCAGGTCCAGCTCGATCTCTAGTGAGTAGTCAAATTCAGATATCGGTAATGCATATTTATGGGATTAACCCAAAAGGTCAACACACTCGCAGAGTTGCCAACCTGGGTTGGGCTCATCCTAATCAGTATATGCCTTTAGTGTCCTATTAAGCCATGAATGTCAGAGAAGAAAGGCGAAAGATCCCAATTTCGAAAATAAGCTTGTACAAGAGAAAGATCCATAAAGAAACATAACACAGACAGAAACTTAAAAACAACCAAAAGGCAAACAAACCTTCGCACGGAGCGCCTTGATAGATTCACCACCTTTGCCAATGATCGCTCCAGCAGACTTTGTCGGAATCAAAAAACGCAATTCATACTTCCCCTCAGCTAAAGCTTCGTTATATCCGTCAGAACGATGTCTTTTGTTGTTTCCATACATTCTGTCTTGATCGTCAAATTGTCTTTTCATATCCTGCTTGTAAAAATTCGGTCGAAAAACAATAGTCAAAGCTCTCTTCTAAAGAAGCGTAAAAATGAGTAGAGTCCAGTTCTGTGTTTAATTTAAGATTAGATACGTAAAATGGATATGAGGGCAATTACACGTATAAGAAAAAAAAATTCGATAAAATCAAAGAGGGACACGCCGGCGCGCGGTCATAACGGCGCAAAGCCATAACTTGCTTCATAACTTGCTTCATGATTTCCGAATCTTTCCAAATTTAGTATTAAACGATTCCTCTCATCGAGGTAAAGAGATTGGTACCAAGATTGATAAGGGCCAGAAATTTTTCAGCAAGTTATGTCTTTGCGCCGTTATGGCCTCGCGCCTACTTGGGCATGTCCCACGATAAAATCAAAGACAACCCTAATCGGTGGATTTCGAAAAATGAAGGTCAAACTTAAGAAAAGAGGGAGACACGTAGTATGAAGGTCAAACTTAAGAAAAGAGGGAGACACGTAGTATTGTCTTAAGAAAATGGAGAGAGAAAGAAAAATTAATAAAAAGAGACGCCAACTTCGAGTATTAACGTGAGTATTTAGCTCGTTTTGGCGTCTTTCTCAGACTCTACTTGTTTATTTAATTACTGTAGAATGTCGAGAATGGATTACTGTATCGATCAATAATGTTGTCTGGTAAAATACGAAACACCAAATTTTAAAACGCCACTATTGTTTCTATTGTTAAGTTTCCCTCTAATTTTCTTTTCTCTTTTTCTCTAGCCACTCTCATTTTTTTGTGTACTCTTTCGTCTAAATCCGAGGATTTTTCTTGCTTTTTGCCTTTTTCGAGAATAAACTTACGCTTATTTTTTTTATTTTTTTAGACATTTTTTTTCTTTTCAATGACAGTTTCTTTCAATCACTTTGAATCCGCTGAGTCATATTTTTATAAATTTCAGAAAATCTGTCAATTTTTTAATTGATTTTGTCCCCATTTTTAATCATCCTTCTTACCATTTTTTAACTTTATAAATTTTTTTTTCAGAATTTTGATGGAAAAAACTGGTCAAAGTGGATCCTCATTATTAGCTATAAGCGAAACTGCTACAAATTCCACAGCAAACGGCAATACAATGGCCCCTGGAAATGATCAAAAGGATAACGAGTCTAAACGAAGTCAAAATACCTCAGGATATTCAATGGCTGGTGTTTTACACTTTCTTCAAAACGAATGCAGTCAGTATGAACTTGAACGGTCTCAATGGGAGATTGAAAGAGCGGAGCTTAAAGTTTGTTTTATTAGAGATGGGTTATTTTCAGACAGGACCCTGACTCTGATCTTAGTGCCGACCTGATTTTTTATTAATCAGCAAGTTTCGCTATCATTATGGTAAAATCTACTCTGATCTTGAATAGTGATGTACGGGTAAAAATTTTTGTTTCTTGGATGCCTTAAGGAATGATGAAAATTTTCTTACGTTTCGTAAGGCAAACGAAAAGGGGAGCTCCGTTCATATTTTCTTTAGGTTAAAAAGAACAGTTTTCGTGCAGTTCTCATTTCGGCTTTGGATCCATGAAAAATTAAGCTTTCTTTTAAGCTCGTGTCTGAGTTCTAATTTTTTGAATTGAAATTTTTTTAAATTTCCCTTCTCATATTTTTAGGCACGAATTACATTTTTGATTGGAGAACGCAAATCCCAAGAAAATTTAAAGTTTGATTTGGTTCGTCGAATAAAAATGTTGGAATTGGCATTGAAACAGGAAAGGTTCTTTTAGTCTTTTAAATTTATTTTTCTTTATCTTTTCAGAGCTAAACACTTGGAAACTGTCAAAAAGTATGAACAACCGCAGCAAAATGGTGAAGTTGATCAAATAGATGGGGAAGAACAAAATCACTTGGGTAATTTTTAGAATTTTTTTTGTAAATAGCATTTTTGAGTAAACATTTTTGGAATTTATTTAGAGGTTTCCTTGGCAAAACCAAAAAATTCTGTGAGTCCGAAAATTGATAGATAAATAGGATTGTCCGAAATGGAGCATTTTTGACTTTATTTTCCCCATTTTAATTTATGTTTTTTTATGTTTTGTTATCTATTAAAACGTAAGAACGGAGAAATAAATCGGGATTGACTCACAAACTTCAATTGACTTCAAAATTGTCTCACAAATTTTATTCCAAACTTTTTCTAAAAAATTCTTTCAATTTTTGTTAAATTTTGAGATGACTTGTCTAGAAAACTTTTTGAATCTGTTCAATTTTTATTTACTTATCCCTTAAAATTATTTTTCAAATTTTAGTTGTCAACACAAAATCAACTGTACCATTGGATATAGATTCAATTTTGCCTTCTAAAACCAATGACAACAATCAATCGTCAAATGGAGGGATTTTGAGCAACAAAGAACTTTATAGAGCTCGAGAGACTTTGCAGCAATATTTACATGTTTTTGAATTTTTTTTTAAGTTTTTAAACATTTTTTAAATTTATTCAGGAAATTGGCTACACAGACAAAATTCTTAGTTTGCGATCTTTTCGAGTTAATCAACTGCTGGGGTTGTTGCCTAAAATGGATGAGGAAGAAAAAACTAATAGTGATGATGAACGACGTCCAAATGCTGCTGAATGGGCGCTTTTGCGAAGTGAACATGTAAGGAAATGTTCAAAGGCTTTGATTTCTTAAATGTGACCTTGTAGAAAATTGGGAATTTTATTTCTGGTTCAGCTTTTGTCTAAGAAAGTTAGGTTTGGTATCTGGCTATACCTATAGCTCTTTACGGGCGGACACAGCCCTAAACCGCTGATCTGCCAATTCTACCTTACGACTTTAGCCACTTGTCGTTTTTTGTGTTCACTTTTTAAAATTTCCAACGCAGTCTATCCCTGATTCGTAATATTCGGAGAGAGATTTGCTGCCCAAAATTTATTAAGTATATAAATTTTTTCGAGAATCAGGAAAATTCTTTTTTCCTACCTAGAATAGAATCTGTTAGATAAAGGCTCGGAATTCAAATTCATTCATTATTTTAATATTTATTTTTTCTCTAGGCAATTTTGGAAGCTGCTGATGCTATTAAACAATCACGTCAACATCAAGAAAAACTTCAAGAATCGTCCAATTTAAAGAAAAATGCTGAAAATGCAGATAACAAGTTTTAATGGATAAAAATTTTTTATTAAAAAAATTTTTTTTCAAAGTGATTCCTCTTCTGACGACAATGCTGAAGCAGATTTGGATGCAGACGCTGTAGAAGCTTTTAATGAATTTAGTTTTTTGAAAAATGAAGAGGGTGGAAATGAAAGGGTGTGGAATCCTAAAGGAAATTTGGAAAACATAGATGTATCGAAGCAGAGGAAATTGGATGAAATGAAAAAGGAGCTCAAGTAAATTTTGATTTTTTTTTAATTTAATTTTTTAAAGTCATGACGTTGGGGGCTATTTATCGAATTGTAGGCTTATTAAATGCCACTTTTATCTTGGTAGCGCTTGTGACTTTTCTTCTTCTATTTAATTTTTTTGAAAACTTTCCAATTTTGACCGGTCATAACTTGGCCCAAAGTCATTTTGCAAGAAAACGGATACCACTATCCAATAGAAAGTCGGGTGTCCTCTGTAGCTTGGTACCAAAAAATTTTAAATTCGTGGTGATATTATCATATGGTTTCTTATTAGACTTTTTTGAATACTATAAAGTTCTGACTATAATTTAAAAACGAGAGAGGTGGGATACCCCCATTCCTGAGCTCTATCTGTTTTTGAACTCTAATAGAGAGTATTCGATTTTGTTAAAATCAGACGTATTTATATAAATTAATTTTAGACATGATCAAGAACGTAGACGTCAGCAAAGTCTTGCAAAAGGTTTTTTGTTTATTTTTTTATTTTAAGTTTGCAAAAATTCTAATTTTTCAGCTCGAAGTGTTTTTGACGATTCTGACCAGAAAAACAAATTCAATAATACTATTCAACAAAATCAACAGTCTCAAAGTCAATCTGCCGCTGATATTCCTTTTGAAGAAGAAAAATATGAAGGAATAAAAACTGTTTTTGATGTTTGAAAATTTTTTTTCTTAAATTAAGAAATTTCTTTTAATTTTAGAAGGAAGAAGAAAATGTGCAACAATTGCATTGGAATGTTCACTATACGTTAAGGTCCCATTATGATTCAATTAGAGCAATGCAGTTTCATCCTATTGAGGTGTTGGATTTTTGTATATTTAAAAAGGATTGGATTTTTGTATATTATATTAACAAAAATGTCCATAGAGTTGATTTTTTGTTTTACTTGTATACAAGAATTTCGATAACTCATCCCCTCATTAATACTACGTCCTCTCATCTCGGTGACACGTCTCCCAGTGAAACTGGTGGAGGATGTTGAAATTGGCTGTAGCAGCTCATTTTTATTTTTGTCTCTCTAGATCCCTCACATACCTTTTCTCCTTGTCCATGAGTCTTGAGCTAACCATTAAAACTATCACAAGTTTTAAACAAAACTGAAATATTAAAAATAAATTTATTTATAAGAGGTTAAAAAATTATTTTTACAGCCTGTTTTAATTACTGCATCAGAAGATGGCACAGCCAAACTTTGGGATTTAAATAGTTCTTCTGTTGGATCAAAAACTGGTGGAGGAGGAGGAAATTATGATGATGGTAGTGGAAAAGGATTTCCGTCTACTGGAATTGCTGATATTGAACCTTTGTATACTTTTAGAGGACATCGGTAAATAAAAAAATTTTTTCTTAATTAGAAGCTCTTTAAATTTAATTTGGAGCTTTCTTTGAGTTTTAAATTTTTGATCGGGCTTCCCTATCTTTTTTGTACTTTCAAATTTTTTAAAATTTAAACAACCCTTTTTTGTTCAAAAATAAATTGAAGATTTCGAGTATTTATCATTCTGGTTCAATGTACTCCACTCAGGGAGTGAGCTCTTTTTTGCTCTATCCCCTCCCCTAAAATTTTTTTCCCCATTTTGGTGGAGGAGTAATCTCCCCTAGCTACGGGCATGACTCCAACTAATAGACTTCCAACTTTGGATTGTTGTTACTTAAACGCCGACTCAAATAAAACATATTTAAACTTTTACCATCAACTAACTGTTGGTTTAAACTGCTAATTTTTTCACCCTATTTTTAGTTTTGTTTTGAATATTTCAAAAAAATTCTTTTAAAACTAAATATGTCCTAACCTTTATTCTAAACTCAAAAAACTATTTTTTAAAACATTATTCAATTTAAATAAAATTTTTTAAACTATTTTTTAGGGGAGCAATTCTAGCAATGGATATGTCTCCAATGGGTGAAACTTGTTACACTGCTGGATTAGATGGAGTTATTTGTTGTTGGACAATTCCATCAACTGTTGGTTTAGATGTTTATCAAACATTTGGTTACTTTAATTGAATTTTTTTTAAATTAAAAAATTTTATAGACCCAAATTTATTGCAAGAACGTTTAAATGGACATACAGACGCTATTTGGTCATTAAGTTATCATTCTTCGTCGAATAGGTTAATTTCTGCATCGGCTGATGGAACAATAAGAATTTGGTAGGTTTTGATGAATTTTTTTTTGGAAAAAATTTTTTCTTGAGAATTTACTTTGGAAAATTTTTTGAAAATTTTTTAGGGCTTGAAAAAATTTTGAAAAAATTTTTGAAATTTTTTTTTCAAAAATTTTTTTTGAAAATTTTTTAAAATTTTATTTGAAAATTTTTTGGGGTTTGTGGAAGGGTTTTGAAATAATTTTTGAAAATTTTTTAGCAATTTTTTTAATTTTCCCAAAAAAATTTTTCCTCAAAAAAATTTCTTCTTTTTTAGGGTTGTTGGTTTAGCTGATGGAGCAATGCCTACACCTTTACTTAAAACAATTACTGAATTAGACAAGCCAAGATCTATTGATGTTGTCTCTACTGAATCTCAACAACTTTTGTGTGCTTGTGTTCATTCCCAATGTCATATTAGAGATTTTGAAACTGGACAAATTGTTTTGAATTTTCAAAAAGTTGAGGATGGAGGTTATATTTTAATTTTTGATTAGTAAATTAAAAGTGTGCGAAATGTCGTTCCCGTGTATCTTAAACGGAGTCGTGAGGATGGGATTTAAAGAATTAATCCACAAAAGGTTTTATGATCCCTTCAATTTATAAATTTGGTTTTTTCGATAAACCATTTTATAAATGTTTGGCAGGTTCCCATCCTGACTCCAAATTTTCTATTGAAAAATTGGAATGTTTCACACCGATTTTTAGATTTTATAATTTTTGAGTTTAATTTCTATTTTGCTCTTTTCTGAAGGGTCTCATGTTTTCGTAGCCTCAGTTTGTTTTCTTATCTTTCTTACATTAGCTAGCTCAAATTCCAATAAAATCCTTATTGGGTTGAAATTTATTTAGGGTCCTCTTTCTTTTAAAATTGTCGTGGATTTTGCTTAATTAATTTTTTTCAAATTTTATAACAACAGAACCCCTTCAATTTTTTTAAAATTTTATTTTTACAGATGAAGTAAATAAAATTTTATCTCATCCAACTATGCCTGTTACAATAACTGCTGGTGAAAACAGAAAAATCCGTTTCTTTGACAATAATACTGGTTTGGATTAATTGAAATTTTTTAAAAGAATTTTTTAAAGGCAAAATTATTTGTTCTACAATGGCGCATGTTGAAGGTGTATCAACTTTAGCAATAGATCCAAACGGTCTATATATGTTAAGTGCTTCACATGATGGTTCCGTTCGTTTTTGGAATGCTGAAAAGAAAATTTGTTTGCAGGTAGAAAGGGAATAAAAATTTTGAATTTTAATAATTTTTTTATCGAAAAAAGTTTTTATTTTTAAAGGAAATTGCTGCACATAGAAAAAAATTTGGTTCTGGTGTTATGGCTGTAGCTTTTTATCCTTCAAGGCAAATGATCGGTTCTGCTGGAGCTGATGGTTTGGCTAAGGTGAGGAATTGAATTTTTTACTTTTTGTTTCGGAAATTTGAAAGAAAAGCAGGAAGGGAATTCGTCAAACCTGGAACCAAAGCCTTACTTTAAAATAAAACAGGAAGTGAACTTTTTTCTAGGGAACCTTTTTTTAAAAATTTTTTGCTGACCTAATTTAAATTTTCTTGACATTGAATAAACAATGTTGATAAAAATCAATAATTAAAAAAAATGGAAATCCATCTATTTTTTGAAGTACAAAAAAATCTTTTCAGTCTCTCCTTTCGGTCACTAAAATTTTTATTTTTAACAAAAGAAAAATATTTTTTTAACAAAGGTCTATGGAACTGGCCAAAATAATAATAATAATAATCTTCCTTCGTCATCATTTCTTATGCCAACAACAACTTCCCCGACATCTTCATCATCATCTGGTTCATCTGCAGGGTCTAGCCCATTACAAAAATATCAGCAACAACAAAATATTGCATCATCTCAACTTTGAAAAATTGCAAAAAAATTTTTTCTCTTGGTTAAAAAAAGTATAAAACAACAACACTTGATTTTTGGAATTTTTTTTCGTTAAAAAAATTTTTTTCCTCTTGTATTAAGTCTTAAAAATTATGTTTTTTATTTGTAAATGTCATGTATGACTAAGGAATAAAAAAATTTTCTGATGTAAAATTTAAGTTGAAACTAAAAAAAATTTTTTTCACAAATACTCCCACGTAAGAGAGACGCTTTTTTAAATTCTGTTGTTCACTGAGAGGGTCTGATGAAAATATCAATGGAATTGGAAAAGAAAAAATTCTGATCGACCACTTTTATTGTTCACTGAACGATATGTGTTACTATAAATTCGAGATAAAAGATAGAATCCTTTAAGCCTCAGGATGAGAGAGGTGTCTTATAGATGAGAGAGGTACTCTCACCCTTTCAGCCTCAGGGTAAGAGAAGTATCTCATAGCGAGACTGATTGTATTAACATAAAACAATGAGATTCTTCCAAGTATCCTTAGGATCTTTCTACCATCGATTTTTAGCGTCTCCTTTTAATCATCTCCTCAGAGAGAAAGCCTCGACCTCCTCCCCCTTTTCCAAAAATAATATTTTTTCAAAAAAATTTTTCTTGAGTTGATAAATGATAAATGGACTTTAATTTTAATTTTAAAAAACACAAAAAAACATCAATAAATTTGGTAATTACCACTAAAATCGATTTGTACGTGTTTAAAAATTTCTGTTATTTCCCCCAGTTGCTTTCCCCCTTGCTTTCCCTTAAAGAGAGGAATTCGTCTAATTCATGCGCGGGCCTTTCCCCACAACTCCTGTTTTGTTTCTTCTGCCCACCCATTTTAAGGTTGTTGCTCATCTCCTCAGAGAGAGAATGCTCTTTTTTTCATTCCAATCCGCGCAGATCAATCATTTGATTGCGTATTATTTTAGTAGAAAAAAAGGGTGGTAAGTCCAATAATCGGGTAGATGGCCTTCCTTTTTCAGTGTCCACCCATCGTCATTTTTATTTTTGAAGGCCAAAAATTTGTGTGTGATACACAAACTATTTTTAATATTTTTTGATTTTGTAAATGAACAGCCTAAAATTAATTATTCTTTTAGTAAAAAAATATTTTAAACATTTAAATAATTTTCTAAGGGTTTTAAAATCAATTTTTGCTTACGTATTATTTAATTAAAAAAAAATTTTTTCGATTAATCAAATATTTTTTTCCAGACTTGGTAATGGACATGGATTTAGGTATCCGTATCCGAATATTTATGACTGATACAGACGGATATCCGCAGGCATTTTGAACCTATCTGTATCCATATCCATTACCAAGCCTGATTTTCCCCCCTTGATTCAGCTTTATCCATGATACTTTTTTTTAAATTCTCCAGGTTAGTGACCGGACTTGAGGATCTAGACAAATTCGAGATCGTGAAAATCTTGATCTCGAAAACTAAGGCTTCTTTAAACGAGATCAGTTCCTTAACTAGTCACTGTCCTTCTTGTATTGTCACCTTCCTTCTATTCTCTTTCTTTACATTCGAACCTCTATTACACTCTTTCCAGGTTACTTTCCCTCATACGTAGTTCATCTCAAACAGGTGTGATATTTTACTGAGTAAACCTCCGATCTCAGACCCCCTCCCATTTCACGTCCGTCATGCGTTACCTCAACTCGATCCATGTGTGATATATTAGAGTGGTTTGACTGTACCTCCATAATGTTAATCTATTAGGGGAACACCATCCCATATATTGTCCCTCATTCGTCAGATCAACTCAGTCCCTCCCTGTTCGTTCCTATCCCTCATTCAATTCTGTCCCAGGGATTGATATATTAGAATGGCTTGACTGTACCTCCTCAATGCCAATTTATTAGGGGACGAGATTCCCATTTTTTACATATTTGTTCCCCTTTTCCATTCCTCCCCTCATTATTAGAATAATATTTATTCCTCCTCTCCTATTTAATCCCTTATAAAACTGTTACTATTTGGTACGACTAAAAAAATTTTTTACTTTATTGGCAATTTTATTTTAACCTACGCAAAAGGAACATCATAAAAATTTATTCATAAAATTTATTTAAATCAATATATTTGAGGAATTTTAAATTTTTATTATAGCCCTTTTTGTGTTCGTTTACATAAATAAATATTTTTAAAAATATTTTTTGACATCACTAGACCATAAAAAAATTAAAAAAATTTTTTTGATAGGAGTACAATCCGAAATTGCGGCCAGCCCTAGTCGCGATTCGATCTCGATAACATGAATCTCTGAATGAGATCACCTGTACCGTCATGTCCTTTGAACCGTGTACACCCCAAGGTTCGAAGCCTAGCAGCAGGGAAATGTTCCAACAAAGGGGAAGGTTGTTCCAACAACAAAGGGAAAGTTGGTTAAGAGAAAGAAAAATTTTGGCCTATGGTACCTTAGATCTGCTTCCATTTTTATCTATTCCTGTTCTTACTACCCTATTGAGGTTTACTGTAGAAATTCAAATTTTTCATATTATTCAAAATATTTTTTTGACATTACGTGATCTTTTGGATCAATCTCATGAGAATGACCCGCAAATATCAAAAACATTCAATTTATGTAAATATTGAACTGCCACGTTTGCTCTCTAATAAAACAAGTTTTTCGTTCGTGGAAATATTTACAAAAAATTTACTAATCATTATTAGTAAGATAAATTTTAATCCCTGCCAAAAAATTTTTTAGTACAATTTAAAAAATATTTAAATTTTTAGATGTTTTTTTCATATACTTAGTTATACATAAAAAATAAATTTTCCAAGTCGGACCTCGACTTAAGCTAAATTTTCAAAAATTTGACTGAACTTTTAATAAATTTTTTCAAAAAATTTTCTATGCGATACCACCGAAGTAGGGACATTTTAGCTTTACATATAGCTCATCGGACCATACCAAGGCGTCCCGGATTTGATAAATCTGAACCTAGCTCGGCAGTACGATGGGCTCGCGTACGTCGCGGTATACCCTTTATTTTTACTTTAATTTCTGGTCTTTATTTTTATTAAATTCTGATTTTTGTATTTTCTTTTCATTAATAATTCTGATTTTTATTTTCAGTAAATTCTGATTTTTGTACTTTATTCCCATTAATTAATTCTGATTTTGTCATTTTTGTAAATTCTGATTTTTGTGTTTTCGTCCTTTTAATTAATTCTGATTTTTGTATTTTTAGTTAATTCTGATTTGTATTTTCTTTTCATTAATAATTCTGATTTTTATTTTCAGTAAATTCTGATTTTTGTATTTTCATTCCTTTAATTAATTCTGATTTTTATTTTATCGAATTCTGATTTTTGTATTTTCGTCTCATTAATTAATTCTGATTTGTATTTTATTAAATTCTGATTTTAACATTAATTCTGATTTTAATATAAACATTAATTTAAGGCTTATTTATTAGCCCTATTTACAATGCTTTTGTAAAATTATTTTAAAAAATATTCTCAAAAAATGGGCAATATTCAAGACTTTATTGTTTTTTTCAACATTTTCCTTCAATTAATTTATCATTTTGTAATTTGCCATGGACCCCCACAACAACCAGAAATCCCTTCCCCAGTGCAATGCTATGGACGGTGTTTAGCTAAATGTACAGAAGAAAATTCAGAAATTAGCTTAAATCAGTGTAGAAAAAATTGTAGAAAATATGGACAGCAAGGGCTATGTGTGAGAAAATTTAATTTTTAAAAATTTTTGGAAAAATTTTTTTGAAACTTTTGGAAATTTTGGAAATTCAAAAAAAATTTTTTTTGAAAATTTTCCTAAATTTTTTTTGAATTTTTAAAAGTTAAAATCTATCAAGTTTTAGCAAAAAGAGGATTCTGAATGTTGGGGGAAATGCAAAGATTTGAGTTCAAAAAAGGCAGAAGGCCCTCCACTCTCTCCACCGACAGAAGTTCAAGCAACTATAAATGATAACTACACAATTGGTTAAAAAATTATTTTTACCTCATTATATGATCCTCTATTGGTGTTGAAAGATGGTATTGGAGCTTGTACAGCTCTCCTTTCCCAGCTCCGTTCCTTTGGAGAGCTCTCCTCTTGGGCTCTCCCCCTTGGTTAGCCTAACCAAGCATATTAAAAGAACGTATCTCAAATTGAGGGCATCTAATACTGGGGGTATTTTTTATAGAGGTATTAACTATGAGAGATTAGAGGGGGAGGGCGTGGGTCCTATTGTGAGGTCCGACTCTATCTAAATGTAAAAATTAATTTTTACAGACGTTAGTTGGAAGCCTGGAATTGGCCCAGAAAGTGAACATGTCCCCATCTACATGATTAGACTACAGGCTGAATTTCCTGAAAGAAAAAGCGCCCAAATTGTTTGTGTTTATGCCCCCCTTTTTAAAGATTCCTTCAAATTTTCTAGTTCTCTCGAGGACTTGGCCATTCTGGAATGGCATTCCCTTCAGCAGAAAATGTCTGTGGTCCAATATATATACGGTTGGCTGCTGTTAGCCAATCTAAAGGAATTGGGGTTTTTACAAATCCTTTAAACTTGGAAGAGAAGAAACCCATTATTCCGGCTAAAATGGAACTTTTTGCTGCTACGTATAATGTAAGTGAATATTGTGATAATTCTGATTTAAAAAATTACAAATTCTGATTTTTTAAATTACAAATTCTGATTTTATAATTACGAATTCTGATTTTACAAAAAAAATTCTGATTTGGAAAATTAAAAACTCTGATTTTCGTAAATAGTACAAATTCTGATTTTTTTAATTTATAAATTCTGATTTCTATAATTACAATTTCTGATTTTTAATTTTACGAATTCTGATTTTTGTAATTACAAATTCTTGTTTTTTAAATTACAAACTCTCATTTAATATAATTTACAATTTCTGATCTTTTAAATTACAATTTCTGATTTTTGAAAAATAAAATTCTGACGTAAAATTAAATTAGGTAGATAAATATAATATTTCAGAATTTTATATTAAAATTTCTCAGGATACCCCTTTCATATCTGACGGTTTCCAAGTAAATGGCACTTTGGACGTTGAACTTTTATTTAAATTTGATGGTTACTTAATTTAAATATTTTTTGATTAAATTAAATTTAAAGGCTGGCCTTTTGGAATTGAAGATCTCGAAGTTATTCCAATTTTTCATTTATTAAGTTGTGCAGAGCCTGACTTGAATCAAGCAATGCCTGTGCCTGAATTTGTAAGAAAAATAATTTTTAAAATTAAATTAAAATTTTTTACAATCCTTCTGAACTAATAGAAGTTAAACTTAGACGTCTTATTTACAAATTCTGATTTTCAAAATTACAAATTCTGGTCTTAACAATTACAATTCTGATTTTTAATGATTACAAATTCTGATTTAAAATTATTAAAAATTCTGATTTTTAATAATCACATCACAAATTCTGATTTCTTTTTTACAAATTCTGATTACTCAAAAATAAAATTCTGATTTAAAATTATTAAAAATTCTGATTTTTTAATTTACAAATTCTGATTTCTGAAATTACAATTTCTGGTCTTAATAATTACAATTCTGATTTTTAATAACACACAAATTCTGATTTTTAATTTACAAATTCTGATTATTCTGTTTTAAAATTATTAAAAATTCTGATTTTTAATTTACATATGCTGAAATTTATATTTTTACAATTTCCAATAATTACATTTTCTCAATTTTTTTATTTTACAAATTCTGGTTTTTTATCAATTATCTATTTCAGAGTCCAGGCTCCAGACCAAATACAGTGACTACTCATTTAGGTGCATAAGAATTTTTAAAATTAAATTTAAATTAATTTAAAGGAGCCGATATCCTTACTCGTCGTTGTCGATTTGTTTATGCAGTGGAGGAGATTCATTCTAGCAGATGTTCAAGGCAATTTACTGTCTCAGCTGAGCAAAAGGATTACGAATCTATTGAATTTAGTTAATACATTTTTCTGAAAATAATTCTGATTTATTCTGAAAATTTTTTCTGAAAATATTCTGAAAATTTTTGGAATTATTCTGATAATTTTCTAAAAATATTCTGAAATTATTCTGATTTATTCTGAAATAATTCGGAAAATATTTCTGAAATATTCTGAAAATAGTTCTGATTTAGTCAGAAAATTATTCTGAAAATAATTCGTAAATTATTCTGATAAATTATTAATTTTTAAAATCCCTCTCACTCAGATTGCAATACAGTAACCGGCTCAGAAAATGTACCTAATGGAGTTTGTAAAAAAGATGACAGGGCATCTGCCCCTATTTGTGGCCAATTCGAAAACTTCAATTATACAGTTATTGGGCAGGTGAAGGAAATAAAATTATCAAAATTCTGATTTTCAAACCAGAATTAAAATCAGAATTAAAATCAGAATATCAATAAAAATTCTGATTTTAATTTTTTTATCAGAATTCTGATTTTCTAAAATTCTGATTTTTTTATTCTGACAAAAATTCTGGTTTTCTGATTTAAATCAGAATTCTGTTCAGACCAGAACAGAATTTTTTAATTTCTGATTTTAAGACGCCTGACCCTAAAACAAACGAGAAGAGTATTTCTGTTAATATTACTTTCGAACCCCTTCGAAGAATTATAAATTTGAAACCAAAATATTATGTGGCACTGTATGGAAATGCTGTTGATTATAAAGGCAATGATGAGGTAAACAGAGGGGAAAATTTTATTCTAATTGACGCCCATCATGTTCCTTATCTCTAATTAACGCACCCTCTCTAATAGACGCCTATCTCTCTGATTCAAGACTAACTCCTAATTAACGCCCATCTCTCCAATAAACGCCCACAACTCTTAAATCTCTCCAATAAACGCCTACGACTCATAAGAGTCTATTTCTCTAATAAACGCCCGTGACTCATAAGAGTATCTCTCCAATAAACGCCCATGAGTCGTCCATCTCTCCTATAAACGCCCACATTAAAAATTTTTTATTTAGCGTTTTCTAAGTGGTGTAAATATGACAAATGTTATTGGTCAGGAAACTAATTGTGATAAACTTGGAGAGGATAAAAATTGCAAAGTTGAAATAAAATTATTTAAAAATTAATAATTATTTTTTAGCATCTTATATCAAACAATTCAATTATTTTGAATGGTCTAAAGAAAGGAAATAAATATGGGGTAATTATTATATTTGGGTGTGGTTAGGAAGGTAGCAAAGTCTCTCTGACACTTTCCTAGTTTACCTATTCAAGCCTTTATTCATCTCGGTTTGATAGGTGATAAACGGCGATTATTTGAATATAAACAGGGTATGATAAGTGTGAGTGTTATGTGAGAGGGTTTTATGAGTCGCTATAAGCTCTGAAATTAATGCTCTGATACAGACTGATACTGAGAGATGTGATAGGGCAGTAGGGTTGGAGTTTTCGGACCGGGCCTGAACGGACCCCCAACCCTATAAGACAGAGCGCTTACTATCAACTTACATTAATCCACCGATCTCCCACTTATCACACCTAAAATTAGCCGGTATTGGTTACAGCTTGAGATAAGAGACATTCTAACCGACTCCTCTTAGTTGCTCTTAACGAGATTTTTAGTTCGTTTTTTCAAAAGGTAGTGTTATGCGCAGTACTTGATCCTCGTAATTTAACATTTCCTGAAGTGAATACAACAGATAAATCTATAAAACCAAAAGCTTTTGGAATTTATCTGCAAAAAGGAAAGCATTTGGAAGGTGATGAGGAAGAAAACTCTGAAGAGGAAGAAGAAAGGAGACGAATCGAGGGATATAAGGTAATTTGTATATTTTGGTGTAGTGGGATATGCTTAGGATTTTACCCGGAAAATGACGAAGGTTCGAATCCTCTTGGTGGTTTTCACAGGGAAAATGATGAAATTTAAAATTTTCTCACATTTCTAACATATTTTGAGGCTTTTCGAATTATAAAAATTTTTTTTTCAAAAAAATTTTTTCAGGCAAAACGCTTTATTCGTTTTATGATTGGCGGTGCCGTTTTATTAATATTTCTTCTGGTTGTCTCAGTCATTGCCATTTTCTTTTGGATTCGACGTTCAAAGAATCAACTAAAAAAGAAACGTGAAACTTTTGAGGCTATGCGGAGGGATAGAGAACAGAGATATATGGACTTCCCTGCTAGAAAGTGACTTTTTAGAATCTTAAATAAATTACAGTTTGACCTCACTACAAGATCTCTTTAGGGGTTAAAAATTGTAGCTTATACTGAGGCGTATATTAAATAAAGGGCATGGAGATAAAAAGTGAAAATCGAAACTGGCACACCCTCGAAACCATAATATATCTAGCAATAATCACATTTATCTTTTAATCACATTTATCTTTCCAAGTCTCTCATTTATCCCGTTTATTGAATGACCCTTAGAATGCTCCTATTTTTAGCCTCCTAGAGGGCCCCACAAGACTACCGTATTTCCTCTAATAGAACTCCCGGCCATTCTATTTTTCAATCATCTTCCAAGGAACCATTCTATTAGAGGGGGCCATTCAAATGAAGGTGGCCATTCTAATAGAGGAAATACGGTAATTTATTTTTACTTTTTCACAAAAATAAATTTTAAAAATATAGAGAAGATCCATGGGAACTGGAAAGGCGAAACTTGATTATTTATGAAGAAAAAAAGCTTGGCGCAGGAGCATTTGGAGCTGTTTATTTGGGTAAATTGGTTGGTATAAGTCGGTTAAAGGCTGCTGGGAATAATTTAAGTATAGGTATGGAATTGTAAAGATTTTTTTAAATTTAATTTTAAAATTTTAAGGCCTTTTGAGAGCTGAAAATGCACTTGTGGCAGTTAAAATGTTGCCAGGTGTTTATTTAAAGTTTAGGGTTACTGTATTTTGAGCAACGACCTTGTTGAATTCTATCGAGTATAACTAGCTAACAAATTGATCAATCGGAGTGTACTTAGTATTATTCGATAGAGAATTTAATTAGCTACAAAATACCTTAAAATCAGAATTTTTGAAAATCAGAACAAAAAGTTCTGAAGAAAGAACATTTGGAAATAATGAAATTTAGAAGGATGCTACTCAGTTTTTTGGCCATAACTTTTTAGTCAATTAACCTATATGACTATACTTATTATCATTCGATAGGGAACTAAATTAGCTACAAAATCGCTTAAAATTAGAATTTTAAAAAATCAGAACAAAAAAGTTCTGATTAAAAACCTTCCGACAAACTTTGATAAATTACGGTTAGTCTTTGATAAATTATCAATTAAAACTTTGATAAATTACGGTTAGTCTTTGGCTATAACTTTTCAGAATAGTTCTCAAATCTTCTGATTTTTTAACAATTTGTAATAAATTATATGTTCTATTCAAAAGTACAACCAAAGCTCAAATGATTCATTCAATTGTGAATAAAACCCTACTAGAATGCATGAGACCTAACACCATTAAATTCATTAACCTAATTTTTTTTCAAAAATTAGAATATGCTGATGATATATCCAAAAGTGAATTTCTACGTGAAATAGCTTTAATGAAAACTTTGGGTTATCATGAGAGATTAGTGAATATGTTAGCCTGTGTAATGCAATCAGAACCCTATTGTTTAGTTGTTGAATATTGCAGTGATGGGTGAGGGGAGATTTCTTAAATTTTTTAAAATTATTTTTTTTGGAAATTTAAAATTAATTAAAATTATTTTTAATTAATTTCAGCCCAAATTTATCCTTTAAAAATTCAAAAAAAATTTTTTTTTATTTCTTAGCGATTTACTCCATTTTCTCCGCATTCGTTGTAAATACATGCTTGAATTGGATGATGCCGGAATTAATTATTCCGACCCCGATTGTGGGACGGAATTTGATCATTCTATGATTATGACTGTAAAACAGTTGTTAATGTTCTCTGTACAAATTAGTTATGGATTGGTAGAGATTTTTAAATATTTAATTTTTAATTTAATTTAAATAATGCTCAAAATTAAAATGAGGACTTGACGTAGCCTGCGCGGGCACCTATAAAAATTACAAATTTGAACCCAGAGTTCTGAAATTTTGTATAAACATTCAAAATAGTGTTATCTAACATTATTAAAAATTTTGTAATTTTTGGTTTGGTATTTATTAAGTTATGGTCAGTAAAATCTACCATTAGAACCTATCAGTTGATTCAACAACGCCTGAGCGTTCGGTTGTAGAAAATTTAATTTTTAACCTAAAATTGTGAAATTTTGCACGGTTCTCCTAGATACTCTTATCTAATATTCCTGAAAATTTCAGAATTTTTGATTGTCTATTTCTTAAGTTATTGCTCAGAAATGCTCAGATTTTTAGGAAAATGTCGATTTTTTGCTCATAACTTTCTAATTTCTGAACCAAAATTTTTGAAATTTTTAGAGAAGTAGGTTAACACTGTTAGCTATATACTAGAAAATTTTCACGATTTTAAGTTAACTCTAGTCCATTTTATAGGTGCCAGACTGATCGTTACTGTGATTAAATTTAGTCCACCTTTATGAATGGAAAATTAATTTTTTTGGTTAAGTGGATTAATTTTCTGAGTGCTTATTTTAATAGGTGTAGGTTCGAATCCTTTTGCCTTCAATTAATTTTGTTTTCACTAAAACTTAATTATTATAATTTCTTTTAAGGAATATTTGACCCAAAAAGGTTTTGTACACAGAGACGTAGCTGCTAGAAATATTCTTGTGCACGACAAAACACATGCAAAGATTGGGGATTTTGGGCTTTGCCGGTTTATTTATGCGGATAGTTCGAATTATAAGGGAAGAGGTGGAAGATTGCCTATTAAATGGTAAATGGGAAAATTAAAAAAAAATTTTAGAAATTTTTTGAAAATTAAAAAAAAATTTCAAAGGATGTCCCCCGAGGCTATTCGACATTATGAATTTACTACTAGTTCTGATGTGTATGTTTTTTATCAAAAAATCTGTCCCCAAAAAATTTTTTTTCTTCATAAGTTGGTCTTTTGGCATCCTCATGTTCGAAATCATCACCTTGGGAGGCACTCCATACCCTGGAATTCAGCCTGACGATATGCTCGCATTTTTGGAGTCGGGCCGTCGTATTGCTCAACCAGACAATTGTCCGGATGAATAGTGAGAGAGATTTTTAATTCCAAAAATTTTTTCATCAATAAAGCATAGTGGAACCATACCCAGAATATAGAAGGATATTAAGGGGAAAGGAAGAGAGCGGGGGAAGGTAATAGGAAGAGCTTCAGGGTTGATCAGGCCGATCGACAATTCATGGGGTTCTCCTTAACTTGATCCAGGGAGGTAATTAGTTCAGTAAATACGGTAGTTTCCTAGGGATTCTAAGTCAGTCAACAATGATTAAAGGCTTTCGAGCTTGTCATAATCTCCCATAGATATGTCTAAAACCAAAAATATTCCAAGAATCGAGACGTTTACTTCACCCTCTCCTTGATAGAGAAAGAGGGAGATTAAAAAGAAAAAGAAAGAAAGAGAAAGATTTTCCCCTCTTATTCTAACCAGGATGTCAACAATAGCAAGGTCTCAGAGTTAGTTCCAAGGATAGACGGGATTCCGAGCTTGCCATAATCTCCCTTCACAAAATCAGAGAGTTTTCCCCAACCTAAAAATATAATCAAAAAATTCCCCAAAATTTAAAGCTACAAAGTAATGTGTGCCTGTTGGACAGCTGACCCTCGAATGCGTTTAGACTTTGCTGCTATAAGGCAACAATTAGCCCTTCAATTAGAAACCGTTAGCGATGAATATTCTTATTTGAAATTGGATGCTTCTAAAGATTATTATAATGTTTCTTATGGGGAATTGAAAGAGCAACAAGGAGGGGAAGAGGTTGAGGAAGATGAGGAGGTTGGGGAAGTTGTGGAGGAGGTTGTAGAGGAGGAAGGAGTGGTAGAGGAGATTAATAATATAGAGGAGATTGGCAAAAATAAGGAGGAAGAAAATAAAGGGGGAAATAAGGAAGAGAATGAAGAGGATGATAATAGGAGAAGGAAGAAAAATGAGGAAAAAGAAGATGAAGAAAGAAGAAATGGAAGAATACCAAAATAGAATAAAAATTAAAACGATAAAAATTTTTTTGACAGTAGAATCTCTATCTATCCTACCCCTTTAGACCATTTTAGGGTAGAATGACAAAGAAATTGGGATATGTGGGAAGGATAAAATTAGACTTTTTTAGGAGCTATCTAAATAGTTTGGGATATCTGTAAAGCCTAGGTACCTCTTCCTTAGCCTTGCTTAAATGAAAGACTTTTCAGATACCTCCTCCCTATCCATTCTTCTTTCAAGATAGTTTGGGATATCTAAAAGCGTGGGTACATTTTTTAAGCCTTTTTAAGTGAAAGCCTTTTCAGGTACCTCCTCTTCCATTATAATTCCAAGTAGGTAATAAGGTCACAATTTCCAGTTGGAGACCGATTTTACAGAGAACGGGGATTGCAAGGAGGAGCAGTGAGTACGGGGCTCCTGAGGAGATTGAGAGGACCTCCTCCGTTCCCCCATAAAAATTTCCTTTGCCGGGGACGTGGATCAAACCCCTGTTTAGTAATTTGACTTATTGTTAGGCGGGGCTCCTGAGGACAGTAGGACCTCCTCCGTTCCCCCTCAGGAATTCCCTTCGTCGTGCACGTGGGTCAAGCCCCTATTTAGTAATTTAAATTTCTATAGGTGCGATAAATAGAGATTCTTCCATTGTTTTAACAACAAATATTACCTCAAACGGGTTTTCTTCTTTTAAATCACCAAAAATTAAAATAACAAACTATAAAAATCAAAAAATACAATAAAAATTAACTACTAATCCCCTACAAAAATTTACCAAAATTAGAATTTTAAAGCTTATTAAACATTTTAATTTTTTATTATTTTCCTTAAAAAATAATTTTTTTAAACCCCTTTTTGTCACAAACTGATAAGACGCAAAATTGATTTAATAAAATTTCAAAAAAATATTATTTTTAGATAAAAAAGACAAACAAAAGGATTATAATTTCGTTTTCTGAGTGAATTAAAAATTAAAAAAAACGTGGACATCATGAGGCAAAAATTAAATTTCGATTGTCCCTTTCTGTTCCTAATTATTGCCAATCATATTTTATATTGTCCGTTAAAATCCGGAAATCAATCCACTCCCGATTTAATCCAGAAAAGTGGAAATATGCTCTAAAGCCGCCCTGGACCTGTCTGGGATGTTAGCCAATAAATACAAGTTTAAAGTTCAGTCGGATCTCACTTGTACGACACCTCTCTTCAAGGGTTTTACGATCGGTTTAAAACAGGAATTTTTGATATTTTCCGGTTTTTCCGGAAACCGGTAGTCTAACTCAAATCGGAAACAGGGTATTCGAAAATAGGATTAACCGGAAACCGGGGGTACAGGTTTATAACCGGAGGTGTCCAACCCTACTCTCTTCTTACGTAGAAACGACTACAAATCAGGGATCGGCCAGGTAATCCGAAACCTGAGAGCCGAAACGCTGTCTTTTTTCGACCCAAACCCCTCCAATCTGAAGATTTTTAAACCCCGATCCGAATCCTACCCGACTCTTTTCTCAACCCGGCCCGTACCTGCTACGAATGAGGGTGTCGTAGAGGTAAAATGCACCTGAATAATTGCATTAGGAAATGAATTTTTCATTTTTACTTGTTTATAAATCAAAATTTTATTGCCAATTCTCTTTGATAAATATTTTTGTTATCAAATTATTGACTAATAATATCATTTTTGTTGTTCTTTAAATAAATTGCTTTTTGTAGTTATTTTTAAAATTTTGAGTTTAATATTTTCCTACAATATATTAACGTAAATGCTCTAAATTAACCTTGGCTCGATTAGAAGCAAATAAAAAATATAAGCCCTCACAAGGGGACCTTCGAAAAATAGATGCCCACTCTCTAATAGAAGCCCATACCTAATATAAAGGGAAATGTACAGCTTGCGCTCCGTGTATCCGTAAATTCTGCAAAATGACATTTTTTGCTGCTTGCTGCAATCAACTCCATACTTTCTCTCCTTTAAGTCTATTAGATTAACAATGATTCTTCTCTCCTAGATGGTCTTTCTCTGATTGTGCTCTCTTAGATTAGCTCTTAGATTAGCAAATCATAAAGGACGCATAGAGCTGGATTTGCCCTGAGAAAAATAGAAGCCCGGGCTTAATTAGAGCATTTACAGTAGTTTAAGATTAAAAATGTTTGCCCTCGTCGATTTCGGTGTTTTTGGCATTTTTCTGCTCCTTTCCCTCTTTGTTGGTCTCTACCACGGAATTGGACGTTCCCTGTCTTCAAAATCAGAACAACAACCCCAACAAAACTCGAAAACAGGGGATTTTCTAGATGGAGGCCGTCGCCTTCCAGTCTTCCCCGTTTGCCTCTCTTTATTAACTACTTTTGTTTCCGGCATTGGTCTACTTGGAGTACCTGCCGAAATTTATACTAAAGGCTCTGGATTGTTCATTTATACAATGGCTGGAACTTTAGCCTTTCCAATTATTGGAATTTTCTTTATTCCGATTTTTTATAAAATTAAGGTACCCCTATTGTTCAAACAAAGGTACAAAAAATTTTAATTTAGTGCCTCAATGCTTACGAATATTTTGAAATGAGGTTTAACAGCAGAACACTTAGAAGGATTGCTACACTCATTTTTACATTAAACACGCTCATATACATGGCTGTAATAAATTTTTAAAATTACTTAAGGACTTTTCATTCCTATTAAAAAATTTCAAGACTAGAGATGGACCCCGATTCCGTCTCCTAGAATCCCTATAAAAATTTTAACTTTGCCCCGAAAATTCTTAGAACTCCGACTTCATTATTCTCAACCCAAACACAGATTCAGAACTTTCTGACACCGAAGGGTCAGATGTCCTACCTCAGCCTAAACTAGGGTTTGACCCCGAATCCTGGGGGCACGTTTTTTTGGATGCGTTGGAGAATGACTGACAATAAATTGTGAGTGTTATTCTGTCAGTCATACTCCAACGCTCACAGAAAAACGTGCCCTCAGGATTCGGGGTCAAACTTTAGCCTAAACACTCATTTTTATAGACACCCAATATTGGATATAGTACCTCAGTTTAAGATAGGCTTTTAAAATTAGGGTTTAACCACTGAATGGGAGCTTTTATTCATCTCCAATAATTTTTCACGAAAATTTTCAACAAATTTTAAGATAAAAAATTTCTATTTAGCCAGAGAGGGTATCTTATAATGGAGGGGTTCGACTCTCTATTAACCTTAATTTAACTCTTATCTAATTTTTTAAAAATCCAAAAAATAAAGGTAGTAATCTACGCCCCATCAATAGCATTGTCTGGAGTAACCTCGCTTCCATTATGGCCATTTATACTCCTCGTAGGGTCAGTTTCTACATTTTACACGGCTGCTGGTGGGATTAAAGCTGTTATTTGGTAGAAATTTTATGTATAAAAAAATTTAAATTAAAAATAAATAAAGGACAGACACCCTCCAAGCATCTTTTATTTATCTGGGGCTTGGCATAATTATTGTTAAAGGAACGATTGAAGCAGGTCAGAGCTTGCGAAATTTTTTTGAAAAATTTTCAAATTTCAAAAAAAAATAGAAAATTTTTTCTTCAGGAGGGTTTGGACATGTTTTACAGATTAATAGTTTAACTGGCAGATTTGCACAAGGATTTATTTTAAATCCTTCAATTTTACAAGTAATCATATTTTTTCGCCTTTAACTTCAAATTTATACAGTATGGCAACCTTTGGTTAGAAATTTTTGGAGGGATTACAAACTGGATTTGTATTTATGGCCTTAATCAAATGGCTATGCAAAGGGTGAGAGATAAAAAATTTTTATATTATACGGTAGTCCAACCCAGATTTGAACAGGAAACCAGACATTTTCAATTTGAAACCCGCCTATCCGAAGAAAATTTCGAAGAAAACTCGACACATCTCTTGACAGGAACATTACAAACAAGCAAGAACCTAACCAAAAATTATTATAAAATATTTTCTTATACCACATGAGAACCGTGTGTTCCTCTCCAATATTCCTTCCCCATGTAGGTCTTTTAATCTCTCACTTTAATCAAAAATTTTTTTGGGGCTCTTCCTGAGAGGATAAGGAAAAATTTCATTTAAAAATATTTTTCTAGTATTGTTCAATGCCTTCATTAGGACATGCTCATCGAGTATTAAATTTAACAATTCCAGCTAATATAATTATACGTTAGTTTCCGAATTTTATCTCTCAAATAGAAAATTCTAAACAGAATTAATGATCACCTATATCGGATTTCTAATGGTCGCCTTTTTCCAAGGCTGTGACCCTGTGGCACTTAAGGAGGTTAAAACAATGGATCAATTGACCATTTTAATGGCTAATAGAATTTTTGGTAATTTAGTTTGAAATTGATAAGAAATAGGACTAAATAACGATAAATGCCCTCAGGCAATATTCGTTAGTATGGGCATAACATTGTCCAAAATTATCCAAACACGATGATTTTAGTGTCATTCGATGCAGAACGCTTCGATGCAGAATTTTAGTGTCATTCGATGCAGAACGCTATAATATGTTGGTAATCTATTTCAAATAGACAAAGTCTAGGACAAAATAAAGATAAATGCCCTCAGGCAGTATTTGTTATTATCGTCATAACATTGCTTAATTTAATCCTATCACCGCGATTCTAGTCTTATTCGATGCAGACCGATGAGACGCGTCGAATGATGTATAATATGTTGGTAATCTATTTAAACAGATAAGACTAGGACATAATAATGATAAATGCCCTCAGGCAATATTTGTTATTATGGGTATAACTTTGTCCAAAATTATCCAAACACGATGATTTTAGTGTTATTTGACGCAGAACGACGAGACGCGTCGAATCATATATAATTAGTAAATTTATAATTAATTTTGAGGTATTTAAATGCCCTCAGGCATTTTTCATTATTATGACTATAACTTTGTCCAAAGTTATCCAATCAAGTCGAATTCAGTTTCATTCGATGCAGCTCGAAAATCCACGTCGAATGATATATAATTTGCTATAAAAAATTTTTTGAAAATTTTTTTTTAATTTTTTTTTAATGAGCAATACATAATATTTATCCCTTTATCTCTCTCACACAAATAATTAAAAATATTTTTGAACCAAAATTTAATAAAATTTTATTTTTTTGAAAGAAGGCATTCCTGGACTTCCTGGACTCTTCTTGGCTACAATATTTTCTGCTACACTAAGTACTGCTAGTAGTGGCATTAATTCATTAACTGCCGTACTATGGGAAGATTTTTTAAAAGATTCAAAGTTTGGACAGAAATTATCAAATAATCAGACGTCTATACTGATGAAATTGATTTCGGTAGGTCAATAAAGAATATGAAAATATCTATTAGAAAGTTGTTTTCTCAGTTCCTTTCTATTAGAGAGTATCTTTTAATAGAATATGGCTTCCTACAAGAGTGGCTTTTTATTAGAGAGTACCCTTCTATTAGAGAGTAGTACCTTTTTGTTTGAAAATGCCTTCCTATTAGAGAGTGCCTTTCTATTAGAGAGCGTTTTTTGATAGAAATTGACCTAGAATGCCCTCTCTATTGAGGGGACCTTTAATTAGAGAGAGCCTCTCCATTAAAAGTACTTTTTAAAAATAATTTTTTCAGGTATTTTTCGGCATTTTAGCAACCTCAATGGCTTTTGCCTGTTCCAACTTTGGGGGCATCTTCCAAATAATTTTAACAACACTAGGAGCAATCTCAGGCCCCCTAGTAGGCCTCTTCTTCCTCGGAATATTCTTCCCAAGAGCTAACAAATTTGGTGCCTTTATTGGCTTAACTATTGGAATATCTGTAATGATAATCCTCTGCATACTTTCCAATATAAACCAGCCTTATAAAAATTTTGTTATCACAACTGGGAATTTGAAAAATAATTTCACGTCTGTTGGGTGTTTAAATTATGACGATGAAGTGGAAAATTTAAAGAGGAAGTTAAGGTGATTAAATAGATAATACTAACTCTTGTTATAACACTAGGGTTGCCCCCCGAACGCTCGTTGGAGGGTGTGTCGTGGCATGGGCTTTTCGAATCGTTTCGGGGCGGGGTTCGGGTCGGGGAAAATCTGAAAAAATCTTTCGGGAACTGGGGTCGGGGTACGGGGGTCGGGTGCAATTCTACAACACCGATGAGGTATCCTTACTTTAGCACCGTATATCAATCAGAGATGGATCGGGTTGATAAAAGTTTCGAGTTGGGTTTTGTATCGGGTGTAGAAAATTTTTGGACTTCTAGTTCCTTCGAGTTCCTAATTCGGACTTCGCTTCGTTTTCCTAATTTTGGGTCTAAAAATCCAAGTTTTGGGTCACCAACCCATCCCTGAACCTAATATCCACAGGATATTCCTGACTAAATTTCTTCAAAGAAATCTAAAATGCTCCTCCTCCTCTCACCTCCTCATCCACCTCCACCTCCAAATCCACATCTACCTCCAAATTCCCCTCAAAAAATATGCTTTTTCTTAATTATTTTAAATAATTCTTATTTAAGGTATGAAGAATATTCAAAGCACAACAATGTCAATTTCCGTTATGGCAATCCAGAAAGTTTGCTGTTAAGTCGGCTATCTCCTTTCGCCTATTCACTTCTAGTTATGTAAAATTACGTATAATCTTATTTTGTTAGCTCCCTCTATAACATTCTGTTCAGCCAATCGCTTCCTCTCGTTTGTGGGTGGGGTGGCCTTCTATGCCTTCTATATCAGGGTGGCCTTCCTCTGATATACGCAGAAGTGGGTCGGAACAGTCAGAGGTGTCGGAAATTGGAAATGCCAGAAATCGGAACTGGCTTAAAAGTCGGAACTCGGAAATCAAAAATTTTTTTCAGAAATCGGAAATCGGAAGGGACAAAACGCCGGAAATGAGAATTCCGACCCAACTCTGGATATACCGACTTCTTTGGCGCAGGATATCCATATCCACCAACCCTAGTTATACGGCCTAATTACCCTTTATATGCCTTATGAACGTTTATTCCTAGGAGGAGCCCTTCAAACTGCTTCTAATCTATCTTTTATCTAAAATTTTAGCCCTACTTCTAGTCCTCATTATTGGTGTTACTTTCAGCCTACTAATTAAAGAAAAAACAACTCCAGAACAAAAATGGCTCTCATTAGCCTGTACTTGGAAGGGAGTTAACCTCCCTTTACAAAATCAAAAATCGTTGGAATTCGAACAGAGCCAAAAATCGTTACTTTCGCATTCAAGAATGGAAGAATATGCTAATAAAGAAGAGAATGAAATACCGATTAATTTAAATAAAGTTTTGTAAAAAATATTTTTTTTGGGCTGAAGTTAATTTTTATAAAGAGCTGTGTTAAAATTCAGTTTCAGGCAAAATTCAATTTAGCCGGACAACAGTTCAAATTTTTAAAATCGGGGGTTTTTTCTGGCGGTTTTGTATCCGTGGCTTTACAAAACCGATTTTTTTGAAACGAATTGAAATTGGCCGGTTAAATTAAATTTGGCCGGCTAAATTATATTTGGCCTAAAATTAAATTATTATTTAAATCCTTTATCTGATTACAAGGCAAATTTAAAATCTAAAAAATAAAAGTTGTATAATATATGGCAATTTTATCGTTCTTGGGTCTTTTAAAATCATTTTGATTCTTTTAATTAACGCAACTTCGTTCCTCGTCTGGGAATTTAAATTCCTTGAAACAAAATTTTTTTTTGACAAACAAAATAATTATAATTTACCATATTCATAGTACCCGCCTCAAACCATTTTTGAACTCTATCGGAACGTGTAATATATTCATCGGGGATTCCTAAAATTTTTTTAAATATTTTATTTAGCGTTAGGCTTCCAGTTATACCCGGTCATATTTTGAAAATGACCTAAGAAAGAAGAGGAGATTTATATCATTTACGATATCTTAGTTTTCTTTATTCTTTTTAATAAACTCTCTTTATAAGCGACTTCTCTCTCTCTTATGCATTTAGAGAAAGGGCCTATTAATTCTATTTAATCAACGCTCTCCATAAGCGACTTTTTAAGTTAATATGGCTTTTTAATAAACTCTCTTTATAAGCGATTTCTCTCTCTTATGCATTTAGAGGCCTATTACTTCTATTTAATCAACGCTCTCCATAAGCGACTTTTTAAGTTAATATGGCAAATACATATTTTTCCTATTTGTTAGTCAACTCACTTTCTCTCATACATACATATCGAACTCTCGATTTTAAAATTTTTTGGTCTAGTAGCCAAGCTAGGGAAAAAGCTAGGAAGGTTTCTTAACACGAATTCAAGTCTAATTCCTAAGCCAACTTTATTTCAGGTCAAATTCGTTTAACCCAAATAAATACCCACCTAAGTCGATTTTTCGTTGACATGGCTAAAATTTTGGAAAATATTTTTTAAATTAATAATTTCCTCAAAACACCTTAATTCCATCATTACAATCATGATATATTTTAAAATGAACATCCATTTTAGTAATTTGCCCAACCCCTCCCTGCATTTCAAAATTGCCGTTTTTGTCGGTTTTGACTGCAGCAAGTTGGTTGTCACTTCCTTAAATTGTAATTTTGGGATGAAAGAAAAATCAGAACAAAATTTTTTGTTGAGAAACCTTCGGAAAAGGAGCTTTTGCTCGCTACGTACAGGTGCTATACCGACTTCGTCCTCATATTTTTTCTAAACCTAGAGACCGGAATGGAAAGGGCTACAAGAATCAAGACCGATATCTCAAAGAATCTCGAAATTTCTGTCCGAGACCCAGTCCCGGTCCGATCTCTACTTAAACCTCCACCTAGTAAGCGGTTTAAATGCTAGCCAGTTTTATCTCCCTTCTTATTTAAGATATCAAGGTCAAGGTCATTGTTATAAGGGGAGAGGAGTATCTATTAATTAATTAACCCACCAATATTTTTATTCCAAAGCTTAATTTGTGTGTCCTTCAACGGTTGATTACCACACATTAAACGACCCCTAACACCCACAGTTTGTTGACGAAATGCGTTGACAGAAATTATGGAGATTATTAAAAATAATAGAGGGATAAATGCAACAGATTTTCCAAACATTTTTAATTATTTGAAATGGGATATCTGAGAAATTGGGTTATTGAGAAGGTACTTAAATTAAACAAGTATTAAGAAAAATAGGACAAGTGGGAAATTAGACAGATTTTAAATTTTTGAAATATGTGGGATATCTTAGTGATATCAGAGAGATCTTGAATATAGGAGAGGTTTAAGATTATTTATCAAAATGGAATATCTTGGAGGTTTTTTATTATCGTGATATCTGGGATAATAAAGAGATTTTGAATTTAAAGTAAGTGTCACTTTCCTATCAGTGAGAGTACGGATGTGGGAGATGAGAGAGATTCTGTATTTTTTGTGGTCTGAGATACCAGATGTGGTACCTATTTTTAATTGAAAAAAATTTTTTTAATTAAATCAGAATAATATCAGAACAACTCATGTGTTGTCTGGTATACCAGAAAGATGTCTGATTCTTTAAAAAAATTTTTAATAAATCAGAATAAAATTCAGAACACTTCAGACTATCAATTGAATTGAATAAAACACTCCGATTGAAAAATATATTTTTAAAAATGAAAGGATTAAAAATATTTTTTATTGTTCAATTTATGAGAGGAAATTGAAAAAAAATTGTTATTATTCCATTAAATATTTTTATTTTTATTTCTGATTCACACTAAAAGGGGAGGAATTTTCAAAAGCATTCGGAGAAGTTTACTAAGAAAAATAAAAGACAGCTGTTGAAAATATAAGAAAATGTAAGGTCAACGAAAACAAATTTGCTGATGAATCATTATTTTTAATTAAAAAATAAAAGTGCTTAAAATATTTTTAGAACTGATATGTATAAAACAAGATAGAATAAAAATACCTATTTTAATTTATTGACCAGACTGGGGAATTTATTTAATTATTCTGATGATTAATTCTGAGTAGACAAATAAAATGTGAATTAATAAAATCAGAATTAATTTCAGAATTAAATCAAAAATTAAAAACAGAAGATCAGAAAAAAATCAGAATAAATTTAAAATTAATAAAAATCAAAATTAAGAAGATCAGAATAAATCAGAATTAAAAAATCAGAATTAAAAAATCAGAATAAGTAAAAACAGAATTAATAAAAACAGAATTTAAACAGAATTAAGAAGATCAGAATAAATCAGAATTAATAAAATCAGAAAAAATAAAAGCAGAATAATAAAATCAGAATTAATAAAATCAGAATTAATAAAATCAGAATTAATAAAAACAGAATTAATAAAATCAGAATTAATAAAATCAGAATTAACAAAAATCAGAATTAATAAACTCAGAATTAAAAATCAGAATTAATAATATCAGAATATTAAAATCAAAATTAATAAAATCAGAATTAAAAAAACATAATATCAAAATTAAATCAGAATAAATAAAATCAGAATTAATAAAAGCAGAAAACCAGAAAATCATATACCTACATATACAGAATAAAATCAGAATTGAGAAAATGAATCAGAATTAACAAAAATCAGAACTATCACTAGCCAACAAACACCATAACTAAGAAAATACATAATCAGACCAGAATATAATAAAATACACAAAAATAAATCAGAATTAAGTTTAACCATAAAATTAAAAAAATTTACAATTGTAAATACAGAATAAAATCAGAATTTTAATTTATTTGACAAAGTCCACAAGTTCTAGAACATTTCCAACGCATTTTTTTGTAAAATGGGTGTTTACAAAATCCTCTATTTTCCCAATGTAAACAGCTAAAATATTGAATAAACTAATTTATTAATTAAATTATTTACAGATCTCCTCTTTGATCTAAACAGTCATCCCTTCCACAGGTTGTTTGGCAATGCCTGAACTGAAAATTGTTTTTAAATTAAATATTTTTGTGGGTATTTAAAAATCAAAAAAATATTAGAATTAAACTAGAAAAATCAGAATCAAAATGAGAGAAAAATCAGAAAAATTCAAAAATAATTTCAGAATTAGAATCAGAATTAAACCAAAAAAATCAGAATTAGAATGAGAAAAATCAGAATTAAAATCAGAATTAATTGTAAAATTAAATCAGAATTAAGAGAATAGAAGTCAGAATTAACATATAAAAATCAGAAATTAATGTCAGAATTAAATCAGAATTAAAATCCAAATCAACTCAGAAAAATCAGAATTAATGTCAGAATTAAACGAAAAAAACCAGAATTAATATCAGAATCAACTCAGAAAAATCAGAATTAATACCAGAATTATATCATAAAAAATCAGAATTAAGACCAGAATCAAGATTTTAAGTCAGAATTAAATAGAATTAAATCAGAATTTAACGGAAAAAATCAGAATTAAAATCAGAATCAGCCCAGAAAAATCAGATTGATATCAAAATAAACCAGAAAAATCAGAATTAATGTCAGAATTAAGATAAAAAATCAGAATCTAAGCCAAAAAATCAGAAATAAAATCAGAGTTGTACCAGAACAAAAATCAGAATTATACTACAATATTTTTCCAAACCTTTGTAATATTTTTCTATATGCGCGGTGATTGCAATACTGAGCTAACGAACGGCAATTTTTTGCTCTATCCGGGGCTGGGGTGTCTTAAAATATTTTTATAAGGAAAATATTAATTAAGCCTACATTTAGAGAGGTGCAAGTCATCTTTCCTTTCCCCATTTTCTGGCAAGTGAATTTCAATTGAATCTTTTGGTAAAATTATTGGGCCGATTCTTGGAGCTTTATTTTCATCCCTAAAATAAACGAAGAAATTTTGAAGGGAAAATAATTTAATTTAAAATGGATCAGTTGAATCTCATTTTCAAACATCCTCAACATTAGACACCTACTTCTTTTAAAATTTTGTCGGCATGGGAGAAGCTTGTTAAACGATAACACCAATATGGAAGGAGCAAAAAATCAGAACTAGTGTCAGAATTAAAATCAGAATCTAGCCAGAAAAAGTAAGGAGTCAAAGCGAAAATCCTACTCGATTTTCAAGTAATACATATGAGGGTATCTAATAAAAGTGAGGCGCTTATAAAAATAAATTAAGAGTCAGAATCCACTTAAATCTTTTCAGGATCCACTCACTAGATTTATTTCAAAATTTATTAAAAAATTTTTTAATTCCACCAAATTTACCGAGAAGGTCGAGGAGTTGTCTGCTTACTTCTCCAGGTTGATGTAGTCCCTTTTGGTCTAACCGCAGTAATTAGTCTATTAGACCCTCTCCGGGGTTCTTCTGCTTGTGATAAGGATAAGGGATCTTGACTTTTGGTTAAAATGATAAAATAAATGATTGCGATAGTTAAGGGAAGGAAGAGCATTGATAATTGTATATAGGGGATTTTAAAAATTTTTTAAAGGAATTATTGGACAAGAATAGGAATATTATTTTTTGATTGTTTATTGAATTGGGAATGAGAAGATAAATAAAATAATAAAAAAATTTCTTTCAATATTTGCGCAGGCACGTATTTGTGGAACACTTGTTTTATTTAATAATTACATATTTTTACAATTTGTTATAGTATTGAGTTGTTAGACTAACCGATATCCCCTCTCCGGGGCTCTTCTGCTTATAAAAATAAAGGAGAAGTCTGATAAAGGAGAAGTCACTCAAAATAAAGGACAAGTCACCCTTCATTATAAGGTTTTCAATTTACATGAGCGAGTTTACATCAGCTATGGGTCGGATTACCGATGCTTGAAACCCGGACCTTTTTCGACATAAACGCCCTGGTATGTTTTGATTCAACTCGCCGAGGCGCATCTAACAATACATCGAACCTAATACCAGTGCTAGGCTTTTGGCTCCGGCAACAGCTGCCGTAAGCTAGCTGTTATCAATGTGATTTATGTAATTATGTTATTTATTCATGATATTATGCCATTTATATTATTTATGTTATCAACTGTTATTATGTGATTTACGAATATATAGACACTCTCTTCCGATCTTCATTTTCTCTTAAAGTATTTGTAAGATTTCTTCTAACATCACTAGCCATAGACCTTTGAATTGATATTCTATGTTGCCCATTAACATTTTGTATTTGACTGGAATCGAAGGTTGTGACCGTTGTGTTCTGTTTAACTCCAATCATTTGAAGGAAGTTATTTTTAGTTTTGTATACAAGCTTGGAAAGTTCACATTTCAATCGCTCATTAGCCCAAAGCATTAGCCAGGCGGGCAATGCAATTGTAGAAATGTCGTTTACCCAGGGGCCTGTAAAAATCAGAAATATTTTGGTCCCATGTGAAAGATCATTGAAATAAACCCACTCTGATTTAATACAGCATAATTGGTCATATTATAGGTTTCAGTGTCCAAATAAGGCTTTAATGGAGCAGATACTGTATACCAGGTTATCTGAAAATTATTGTATTTTTATTATTTTTGGGTCTAGGGTTATTTAACAGATATTTAAGCAGATATCTCACCCCGAAATAAGCTTTTGATCATTTTGAACCTTAAACTAAAAATTTTTTTGAAAGATCCGATCACTAGAGATAAAATGTTTCTTTAGTTTACGTATCTAGTAATTTTTTAATTTACAGTAGTTTACACTCCAGAATAAAAATTTGACCATTTTGAACCCCTTATTACAAATTTTTTTAAAAAATCAGATTCCTATAGGTAAAGAGTTTTTGTAGTTTACGTATTGAGGTAGCCAGGTTTTTTAAAATTTTTGCAGTTTACATCCTAAAATAAACTTTTGACCATTTTGAACCCCTCTTTAAAAATTTTTTTAAAAGATCAGATCCCTATAGGTAAATAAATGTTGTAGTTTACGTAATGAGTTAGTCTAGTTTTTAAATTTTTTGTAGTTTACACCCCGAAATAAACTTTTACCATTTTAAGCCCCTCTTTAAAAAAATTTTTTAAAGGACCAAACCTATAGATAAATTGATTTTATGTGATTACCATGAAAATAGAGACAATCAACTGTCCGATAAATGTCACTAGCACAAATACAGTAATCCTACGTTCCACCAACAATTTATTAGTAGAAAGTTGAGGGTTATTTTGGGGAATATGATGTTTCCGTTTGTAACATATTAAAGTATAGATATTCAAAATTATTGAAATTCCCATAAAAAAGAAAGATGCGAGGGTGGCAACTCCATTATTGCTTGAATAGAAGGGACCGAAAAGTTGCTGGCCGTTAATGAAGCCCTGAAACTAATAAATAATAATTGGGGATAATCAGGAGTGAATTTATTTTTGGAATTCAAAATAAGGCTGTAGTCAGTGGGTGCGTTTTAGGGCTCAACTTTGGGGTTTAAAATTTCTGGGATCCGTCTCCGAGAATTCCAAAATCTTGGCTTCAAAATAGGCTTTGGTCCAAAGCCGGCTCGGAAGATGGCCCGAAGCCGTTTCTGAAGACAGTTTCGGGAATAAGCTTCCGAGGGCATAACCAGCCCTGTTATCGATTCTGAACTGAACCTAGGAACTGAATCTAAGAACCGAGGATTTCTTTAGTCAGATATGGGATTGTTCGGATATCCAATGATTTTCTGTTTAGCTAATCCTTCCTGGCCCACGTATATTCCAATCTACTGCCATATTGAACTTGTCTGGACTATTGTACTTTTAAAACTAGGCTGACAATTTTCCAGCAATTCTATGACCGGTCTTCAGTTCGGTCCGAATATCCAAAGGATTTTTAAATATATCCAAAGGATTTTTATAAAAAAAATCAAAATAATATACAATTAAATTGGTTCCAGTCAATGCAGCATACGCTAACATAAATCCATTAGACTTTACTTCCTTTAGATAAACTTTATATTGAAAAATGTGTATTGTAACTATTAGAGGTGCCACACAGGAAAAGAGAATTGCTGCTATCATTCGTGGCTTTTTCCAAATCTGAGAAATTTAATAATAATTTCAATGAGATTATAAGGAAATTATAAAGATGTCAGTTAGTTAATGCCCCTAACTTATAAATGCCCTAACTCAATGTCAGTTAGGGGCATTATAAGGGTATTGGAAGGGCCTTCTTACATTAGAAGGGCATGGTATATTTAAAATCTTAAGGACATTTTTCATAAGGACATGGTCTTTGAAGGGATAATTCAATGGGGGTGGGGTTAATCCCAGAAACTGAAAAATTCGCAGTGGGTCCATTCTCTACATGAAAAAATTCCAAAATTCAAGTTCACGAGTGCCTTGTTTGAGAGAGAGCGTGAGGATCTATTCGGTTCGGCTCACCTCTCTCTCATCTTCGAAACCAACAACCCTAGCCGTAAGCATTAACCTTAAGAGCCTTAAGCCTTAAGTGCCTCTCCGATTAAACTCGGAACCGTAGCCCTACTTGTAAGGGCATTTCAAAATTTTTTTAAATCCCTGCCTTTTCATATTCCAATGGAAACAAAATCGAAGTAAGCCTGTTGATTATCAACAAAACGCCAATTAAATTTTCAACATGGAAAGGATAGTAAATAAAAAAGTAAAAAGTTGCCAGTAGTAAATTAGGCATTTGCTGGTAAGTAGAAACAAACCAGTTGAATTTGAGAAATCTTTGATTCAGATAAGAAAGGAAGAGGTTGCTGAGACTCTGAAGGGGTGAAAAAATTTTTTTGGAAATTTTTTGAAAGTTTTGAAAATTTTTTTAAAAATTTTTTGGATTTTTTTTAGAAAAATTTCAAATTTTTTTGGAATTTTAGAATAAAAAATTTTTTAATTTTTTTTTAAATTTTTAAAAAAAAAATTTTTTTTTAGAAATTCTTGGAATTTTTTTTATAAAATTTAAAAAAAAATTAATTTTTTACAATAATGGCTCTAAGAGAGAATAGAACAAAAAAAGAAGATTTAAATTCCTTCCATTTTTTATATAAAATAATTAATTCAAAAATATAAAGTAAAGCAGAATTAATTCAAAAATATAAAGTAAAGCAGAATTCCTATTATTCCAGCAATAATGTGTGGAATAGCTACATTTGTTGATAATATATTTAATAATGAATAAATAAATGGAGATAGAATAATTAATTCTGTTTGGTTTGTTTGTGTTGAAGTATTCATTTTCTTATACCTAAAAATCAGAGTAATTGAATAAAAATCGGAATTTTAATTTAAAAATACTCAAAATCAGAATAAAAATCAGAATTCACAATTATATTTTAAAAATCAGATTTTACAAACCAGAATTTAATTAAAATTTGAAAATCAGAATTTTCACTTAAATCAGAATTAAATTAATAGTTAAAAATCAGAATTACAACTATAGGATAAAAATCAATTTAAATATCAGAATTCACAAACCAGAATTTAATTATAATTTAAAAATCAGAATATTCATAAAAAAAAATAAAAACCAGAATTTAATATCAGAATTTACAATTACAATATATAAATCAGAATTTTTACTTAAAAATACAGAATAGTTAAAAACCAGAATTTTAATTTAACAAAATACAAAATACTTAATCAAAATCGGAATTCACAATTATAAGTTAAAAATCAGAATTTAAGGATTAGATTTTACAGACCAGAATTTATTTTACAGACCAGAATTTAATTACAATTTGAAAAATCAGAATTTTTATTTAAAAAATAAAAACCAGAACATAAGATCAGAATTTACAATTATACAAAAATCAGAATTTAAAAAATCAGAATTTCCATTTAAAAATACAAAATATAGTTTACAAACCAGAATATACAAATACAAAATAAAAATCAGAATTTAACGTCAGAAATTCAATTAAAATTAATAAAAATCAGAACTCACAAAAAATCAGAATGTAAGATATTTACCTAATTATTTGCCTATTTAAACAATTAAATTTTGTATTTTTAAAATAAAAATTAAACAAAGAATTAAACAAAAATAAACACGTGCGTGTAAGTATTCTTAATTTTAACAAAACAATTTCTAAAAAAATATGTATAAACAATAAATTAAAAAATTATTTTAAATTTTTGACACAAAAAACATTTCTTTTTAAGAAAACAATTGCTTAGTCTATAGAAAATTTTTGGAAATAATTTTTCGAACACCAACTTAATTTAAGATAAAGGCTAGGAGGTAGAGGGTTGTCGATCCGTCCGATATGGAAGACTTTTGAAAGATCGAGTCTCTTTCTTTTCGGAAATTGAACGGTCCGAATAGAGAGAACTGTTCGAACCAGAGATGGGTAGAATTAACTGGAACTCAAATCCCCTCCCCCTCGGTTGGGATAGGTAGGATCAGCTGAAACTCGATCCTCCCCCCTCGGTTTTTTGACTCGCAACACATACGGCACGATTTTTCTCTCAACTCAGCTATCCCTGCCTCGAAGCCTAAAAGATTTTAAAGACCCAAAGAGAACTGAGAGAAAAGAACGGCTCGAACCAGGAATGGGTCGGATTAACTGAACCTCGATCCGATACCGATCCAAAACCTCGTGGTTTTTCTCTCAGCTCGGCCCATCCCTAGCGCAAACTTAAGCCTAAAAGATTTTAAAGACCTGAAGTAATAAAATTAAGACTGAAAAAATTTTTTAACCACACGGGCCTGAGTCGAAAGAGGCTCAAATTAAAATAAAAAAATTTGTGTCTGAAGTTTATCCATTTATAGAAAATATTTTTTGTGTTTCTAATTTAAGATAATATTCCGAAAGTATAAATTTATTTTAAAAAAATAAATTTTTTTTATATTTCTAATAAAAAGGCAAACATTTTTCTTTTAAACTAAAAAATGTTCCCTGAAAAGACATCCGTCTCATGTTCATAATTTGATAAAATTTGTTTATGGGTATCACGAGAAAGTTCAATTTTAGCCTCACGAAATTTTTATCCCTTTAAACATTTTTAAATTTTTTTTAGAAAGAAAAAAAATTTTTTTTCGCTACAATTTAATCACTACAAAAAATAATGTAAACAAAAAAATTTTTAATGAAAAATTGCGTGATTTTTTTTAAATAAGCTTAAAATGAACTAAATTAAAAAAATGTTTATAATTATTATTGAGAAAACTTTAAAATATTTTTTTCTTTGTATTCTTAGATTCAAGAAGAAAAATTAATAACGATAAAGCCCGATTAAATGATACGCTCAGAAATTTAATTTATTTAATAGGTATTTATTTCAAAAAAAATATCAAATTTAAAATAAAATAATCAAAAAAATTTTTCATATATTTTCAAAAAAAAAATAATTTTTTTTAAATTAAATAATTTCTCATTTTCGAAATGTTGTAAAGACCGAACTATAAAAATTTGAAAAATTAATTTAAAAAATTTTTTTCACTCACGATTTTTGACCAAACGCAGGCTTAACTCCAGTACTTGACGTTGGAGAACCACCAAATCTGAAAATTTGCGGAAAATTTTTTCAAGCTTTGCAGAGTAAGATTCAACTAAAAGATACCCAATTAGAACAAAAAATCTCTACCTTATAATGTAGATGTAAACTAAATAGGGCGTAATTGGGAGGTATCGTTTAGACTCCCCTCCATCTAGTAACAAACAAATTTTTACCCTTATTTAAATATCTACCCTTGGTAAATATTTTAAATGTTTAAAGGCCCCCTCCGAAGCAGGGGACAGGTCCCATGTACAAAACGGCACATGGACACTCCAAAATTTGTGCCCCCTGCACAAGGCAGGGGGACTTGAGTTGCCCCCTGCACAAGGCAGGGGGACTTGAGTTGCCCCCTGCACAAGGCAGGGGGACTTGAGTTGCCCCCTGCACAAGGCAGGGGGACTTGAGTTGCCCCCTGCACAAGGCAGGGGGACTTGAGTTGCCCCCTGCACAAGGCAGGGGGACTTGAGTTGCCCCCTGCACAAGGCAGGGGGACTTGAGTTGCCCCCTGCACAAGGCAGGGGGACTTGAGTTGCCCCCTGCACAAGGCAGGGGGACTTGAGTTGCCCCGTGCACAAGGCAGGGGGACTTGAGTTGCCCCCTGCACAAGGCAGGGGGACTTGAGTTGCCCCCTGCACAAGGCAGGGGGACTTGAGTTGCCCCCTGCACAAGGCAGGGGGACTTGAGTTGCCCCCTGCACAAGGCAGGGGGACTTGAGTTGCCCCCTGCACAAGGCAGGGGGACTTGAGTTGCCCCCTGCACAAGGCAGGGGGACTTGAGTTGCCCCCTGCACAAGGCAGGGGGACTTGAGTTGCCCCCTGCACAAGGCAGGGGGACTTGAGTTGCCCCCTGCACAAGGCAGGGGGACTTGAGTTGCCCCCTGCACAAGGCAGGGGGACTTGAGTTGCCCCCTGCACAAGGCAGGGGGACTTGAGTTGCCCCCTGCACAAGGCAGGGGGACTTGAGTTGCCCCCTGCACAAGGCAGGGGGACTTGAGTTGCCCCCTGCACAAGGCAGGGGGACTTGAGTTGCCCCCTGCACAAGGCAGGGGGACTTGAGTTGCCCCCTGCACAAGGCAGGGGGACTTGAGTTGCCCCCTGCACAAGGCAGGGGGACTTGAGTTGCCCCCTGCACAAGGCAGGGGGACTTGAGTTGCCCCCTGCACAAGGCAGGGGGACTTGAGTTGCCCCCTGCACAAGGCAGGGGGACTTGAGTTGCCCCCTGCACAAGGCAGGGGGACTTGAGTTGCCCCCTGCACAAGGCAGGGGGACTTGAGTTGCCCCCTGCACAAGGCAGGGGGACTTGAGTTGCCCCCTGCACAAGGCAGGGGGACTTGAGTTGCCCCCTGCACAAGGCAGGGGGACTTGAGTTGCCCCCTGCACAAGGCAGGGGGACTTGAGTTGCCCCCTGCACAAGGCAGGGGGACTTGAGTTGCCCCCTGCACAAGGCAGGGGGACTTGAGTTGCCCCCTGCACAAGGCAGGGGGACTTGAGTTGCCCCCTGCACAAGGCAGGGGGACTTGAGTTGCCCCCTGCACAAGGCAGGGGGACTTGAGTTGCCCCCTGCACAAGGCAGGGGGACTTGAGTT